TTTCCTGTTGAAAACACGAGATTGGAAACCAGTCTAGAGACTGGAGCCCTGTGTTTTTGCACCAGTGCCTTTTTCCACTCAGGAGCACTTGAGTGGTTTTGGCAGCTATCGTTTCCTGGCTCATGCCTTAGAGGAATTGGGCCTTCCCGCCAAGCCGTTGGCGGCCGTCGTGCGTTTGCCCCCTTTGCCTGTGCTGCGTTCGGAGCCGCTGTGTGTGCTGGGCCTGGGCGACACTCGGGGCATTGGCTTCACCAGCTGCAGAAGGCAGTCGCAGCCTGGCGCTGGCAGTCATCGCGATTGGGCGCGGGGGATACGAGCCTGGTGGCGTGTGGGAGAGGAGGCAGCCCAGGAGAGGTTGAAGAACTTCTTGGAGGTGCTGGCGAGGGGAGACTTTGAGGTGCGAGACTGAAAGCTTTTGCTCGATGTCCCATTTTGCACCTTTTGATGCTGCAAGCTTCATATAGCTCCATATCCTGTTTGGGGTGTGAAATGATCGGCCATCGAATGGGCCAGCGTTTGCCACACGAGGTGGTCTGTTTTAGACCCCTTAACCTCCAGTCGACTCAAAGGGGTAACCAATTGATATTGTGTAGCGAGGTGTTGGTGTTTGATGATCTTGCGAACTTCTCAGGGCCGAAAGCGCCTGTTGAGCGACGAGAAGAACACCAGTGAGCTGTCGCCATATCTTCGCTTTGGGGAGATTTCAGCGAGGTTCGTGTACTGGGCTGCGAGGTCTCAGTGTGCGCAGAGGACGGAACAGAAGATTTTCCAACATTCAGGATACGGAGACTTGCTTGCAAAGTAGCCAATTTGGCTCTGTAGTGAGGCTTTGATGGTCAGTCCAAAGAAGGGACAAGCAAGGAGCTGGGGGATAAATTCCCATTGGGGCTAAGCAGACCTCCGAAGCGCACCGAAGCGCCTCGATCTGACCGGCGACGATCTGACTGAGGATACGAGCAGGAGCGGCCAAAGGCCAATGCCACCTTCCTGCGGCGCTTCATGTGGCGAGACCTGGCGTATTGGTTCCTTTGGGAATTTCCCTCTTTGCCGCACACCTCCCTGCGTCTGCAGTACGAGGAGCAGGCGTGGAATGGCACAGATGTTGAGCTGAAGAAGTGGCAGAAGGGAGTCACAGGTTTTCCCTTGGTGGATGCCGCCATGCGGCAGCTGTGGCACGTGGGATGGATGCCCAACTATGTGCGGCATGTGGTCGCACAGATGCTCATTGAGTATTTGGACATCAGCTGGAAGCATGGGCTGGAATCTCCGAGATTTGAAGTCGGAAAAGCTTTTCATTATTATTGCCCAAAGACTCCAAAGATGACTTGGCATTGGGGGCCTCAGCCATTCTGATATGACACCCATTTACATAGAGGTCCATCATTCCCATCCCTCGCTCGTGTCTTCAAAACGACTGGCTTTTGCTGCCGAAACAAGGACTGGTTTGACTGGACGCTGGTGGATGCGGATGTGGCCATCAACAGTTTCATGTGGCTCAGTTTGGTCAGAACATGTAAGAAAGGTATTCATTCTTGGTAGCAACTCCGATGAAGACATCATGTGGAAGTGGATGGCATGGCCAATGAGAAGACGATTCTCCTCCTACCAAACAGGGTGTTCTCCACTTCCATGGAATGTGAGTCGCATTTTGGCCAACTCCAAGAGGTTGCTGCTAGCGCCCACAAGGAATGCGTTTCCGTGGCTTTTTTTTGAAGGACCGGAATATATTGTCAAGCCTAAGGGAATCAGTTCACTGACCAGGTGACCAAAAAAACTAAAGAGGCGGGACTCTCGACATCAATGGGGAGATTGTTATCAACAACATCCATTGATTCATTGATTGGAGTACTTGGTACACTTAACGCGAACGAAAACGAACGCCCCGAGCTTAATCCAAACGTCGATGTCCAGGGGGGATCTGCGGGGTGCTCCCGAGGTCCCGGAGTAGTTTCGACGGAAACCAATGCTCATCGCGACCAGCGGGGCTCCGATGGTCACTTCCGAACACGCGGGGTGCCACGTGTGTTCGGCCGGCCAACCTGCTCCGAAAGGCCTCCCCCCCCTGACTCGGTCAATGTGAAAAACACCACATGCACATGAATTACCCAAAGGCACGGGTGCAGCGGCTTACTGGCCCTCCCACACGAACATCCACCGGTGCAGGTGGCAGAACGGTGGTCATTCGGGGCCGGATCAGTGGGAGTTCGTGCTGCACCCGGTGAACGCGGCCAAGAGCTGCGACCCACTGGGCACCTACGTGCGCCGCTGGGTGCCGGAGCTGCGCAGCTGCCCGGCGGAGTGGATTCACCGGCCTTGGGAGATGCCCTTGGGAAGGAGGACGTGGATTTATTTGGAGCCGATGATCAAGGAGCGGGGTGGAAAAGGCGGCAGCCGTGGCAGAGGTGGGTTTGGGAGCCAACTTGGTGTGATTCATGTCTGATTCCTGTCATTGTCATAGTCCCTGTTCTTCACCAGTAGGATTCGATCGCGTGATGCAAATCGGATGTGGGAACCCCCAGCTTCAATATATAAATTTCCTTCCAATGATTTCCTTTCTTCCAAAAAGGTCGCCCAAGGCTCTGACAGCTCTTCCCCGACACCAGCCTCTTTGTTGAGGAGACGCATCAACCAGCAGTCTCCAACCACCTTCCTGCATAGTTGAAATCCGTGAGACCGATGAAGCACCCCCCCAAGGGGTAGACAGTAGACGGGTCTAGATCAACCGAACCCGGAAGGGCGTTGCCAGGACCTGGACGAGGCCCGGCGCCGCCACTGCCGGAACGTCTTGGAGGTGCGCCGGAGGCACCCAGAGACCATTGCGCGGAACGGGCACGAGTGGCTCAAGCTGCCCGGGCGGAAGGGATTGCTGGCCAAGTTGGTAACCCGCCAGGAGGGGAGGATGGCAGTGGCGGTGTGCTGGAGACAAAGCAAGTTGAGAGAGAGAGAGAGAGCTGATTCATTGGCAGAGAAGCGAGTTAGAGGCTGGAGGATGGCATGGGGTTTGTAGGGGGAGAGATGGAGAAAGTATGGCCGCCCAGTCCTGGGCCTTCATGTGCTTCATGTCTATGGCCAGAGGTGGGTCACTAGCAATCTCACTTGGCCCATGCGAGGAGTTCCGTGCCGACACGGAGGATTTCATCTTCTATCAGAGCCGGCCCAAAGGTGCCATCCGGCGCCGGCATTGGTTGGGTCGATATATATATATATATGTATATATAATATATTTACTTAGTATAATTCTATATCACGTGTGTATGTATATATATATATATCTCTTTGGCCCTAGTGGCAGAAGCATTCTGTGAAACGATATTGAACCATGTTACAAGTAGTATCCATTGGTGGTGTATCTCGTGTGCAAGTCCCGGCTCACCATCATTATCCCAGTGCTAGTAACTGCTAGTAAATACATAAATAGACAACTATATATATATATACACATACGATACCATACAACAGGATCCAAGTCTTTCGAGTGGGTGTTAGACGCAAGCAAGTTAGCAGCATGTGGATGTGCATTTGCCACTTTTTGGATCTTCTTGGACCAGCAAAGCCATCTGGGCGGTCCACGCTCTCCGTGTACAGAATGTCGGAGAAGCTCCACCTGGCACCTCCAAAAATGTTTTACAATCTCCAAATTGGGGGGGCCTCCCATTGTATCAATTCAATGGCTACTCTCCAAGCTCTCCCTCCAGTAGATCAAGTGCATGAACCACTTTTTTCTTTCCTTATTCCCAGATTGGACCCGGTTCAGGCCGCTTTGCGAAGCCGAAGCCGAAGCCACTGGATGACAACCAAGCGGTGCTGGCGGAGCACATGGAGCTTTGAAGCGTCCGACATCGAGCAGCGCTGGAGCAGCGCTGTGGGAGCTCAGTATGGAGTATATTGAATGGATCTTGGCATCCCTCTTGGCATCTCTTGATCCAGGCTTCCACAGTCGTGGAAAAACCTCAACAAGACGTCAGTGCGAAGTGCGAAAGATCAGACACTCAAGGCGAGCTCGCAGCTGCTTTGCATCACTCAAGTGCTTTGGATTTATTCAAGGTGAGCGAAAGCAGCTGAATGGATGCCGTGACGCCGTGACGCCTGTGCTGAGCAACGCCCTTCCAGAGCTGCGCAGGATCTACAGAGTGGACATACAGAGGGCAGTGCCGGCAGTGCCAACGCTAGACCGTCGCTCGAGATGGCAAGAGGACCATCGCAGCGGACAGAGCCAAGGACGGGCTGAGAAGAGCGGAGGCACTCTGAAGGGCGAAGTCCCAAAGGGCTCCTGTCCGTTCGCCAAAGCTTCAGAAAGCTAGCAATCCTTAGCACCGGGTAAAGACTAGCATGGAATGGTTGGCCCTGTGTGGCCATTGCTCATTTCATTTCCAAAATCTGACCCCCTTAGCCCCAATGGGTTGAATATTGTATCTTTGACCCTAGGGTCTTTGGAGGCTCTCCCCATTTCCACACACACCCATTGGGACGCCCATCCTGAGGATTTGTGTGCCCTTTTCTGAGGTTTGGTTTGGGTTCTTTTCTGAGGCTGTCCTTCTGAAACCGCACATACAGAACTGCGGTTCGGCGCCGAACCACAGAACTGCAGCAGGTTCGGTCTCCATGCAGCGCCTCTGGGTTCGGTCCCTCTTCCTTTTCAGCGATCGATCCGTGGTGGATCCTGCGCTGGGTGCCGCCCCCGGGACCACCTTCGGCTTGATCGACAGCCGACAGCCGGCGAGAGACCGGTCCTGGCATCTTTGTTGCGGAGATCCCGCGCAGATGGGCGAAGAAAACGATCCGTGGGACCCGTGGGAGAGAGATGCTGGTGCTGGAGCTGCCCAGCTCTTGAGCATTCCAATCTTGGAAGCTGGAGGCTGGAGGGTAGGCTACAGTACCAGATTCGTGTTCTGCGGCCCGGTTCATAGGCCACCGGTTCATCCAAGAACTCCAGACTCGTTGGATCGATGGTGAGCAATAAGAGCCTCGAAGCCGGTGACCACGAAGCCGCAACCGCACAGGAAACGTTGGAGGAGCAGCGGCCAGTGGTGTTTGGGTGTTTCGGAACGTTTTTGTTGTGGAGAAGACGAGCTCGCAAAGCAGAACCCGAAAATAGATAGAAGAGTGGATCCTTTGTGAACATGTATTGGATATCCTTCCATTTGTTCGGGGATCTCCACGGATAAAACCAACAGTAGGAGAAGGGATTCCTCAAAGACACAATTGTTTTTTGCCAACCCGACTATTCTTGAGGAACGAATTGATCGAATCAGGTTAATTATATATGTAGTGCGTTGTTGCACATGAGCCTATTAAACCTCAATGCTTTCATGCATGCAAGACATTCATGAGGCACTCAGCTTGAAGAGTAGCTTGGAACTTCGCTCGTCCTATATTATACCCTTTGCCTCTGATTGTAGGGTGTGTTCTTTTGAATGGGCCCTCTAAACCAACAATCTGTTTGTTGAAGGGACTGAAGGAAAACAACTCCGGCACCATGATGGGGAATCTACTACGATTAACAGAGGTGTTTCAGTTTGCCAAGAATCTCAACCTGCAACAAGCAGCTGACCCTGCACAAACTCATGACCCGGATCCGTGCTTCGGGGGGGGGGGGGGGGGAACCGGAACTCCGGTCCTTTCGCATCGTCGGAGTCAGTTCGCCGCGCAGGACAAGTATCCCGATCCGGTCCCTGCGACGATGAACGCCGTCACGTTCAGGCAGCGAAGAGGGTCCGTCGCGCGGCCCCCGCGACGGTTGCAACAGTTCCAACTCTTGGCGAGAAAAAGACGGATTCATCCTGGCTTGACGGTTTGGAAAGCCAGCCTGGTCTTCGGTAGGATACATGACCATGATGACAATGAGGGGAAGATCATTGGAGACAAGTCGTTTTTCCAGGTAACAGGTTCGGCCGTCTGATTCCCTGTGTGTGGTGCTTCTTTTTCTTCTTGCTGTACTTGTTTGTACAGTGTGTGGAGTGTGTGGTAACAGGCAATTGGTAACAGGCAATTTTTGCGGTCGTCATTGAGGGAAGTTCCGACCCGTTTGAGGTCGGTGATTGTTGACATCAAACGGGTCGGTGATCTCGGGAGTCATACGATTCAGACAATCCACCCCTCCACATATTGGAGATCCATGAAGGCGAAAGCGATCCCCTAAAAACGTCTCATTGATGGAACACGCATCACCTAAAGATGGGAGAACCAGAAGCAATGCGGATTCGGTTGACATCGCATACGATTTTGTTTGTCGAACGAAACGGAAGGACCGCCATCTCACCACTCCGTGGCCGTGACTCCGAGGGCGACACATGGGACGGACCATGCACTGCTTCCGAACGAAGCAACCACGGAAGGGTTTCCATCGCGTCCCAGTCATTGGATGGTGCGGAGGACGATTTTCACCAAGATGGACTTCGTCGAACGGATTCGAGAAGTGCCGGGGGGCCCTTGGAGCACGTCGAACGGTCTTCTGCGGTGGTGGGGCGGCGAGGGAGCGAGCAGCTTCAAACCAGGATGGCGAGCAGCTCAAAGTCGGCGGAGGGAATTGATTTGGCTGATCGGTCTCTACTCGTCTCGTTGTGGGTCTACTCGTCTGAGGCGCTACCAGGGGAAGTGCCCCCGGGTGCTCAATGCAGAGGACCCTTTGGAGCGTCGCTGCGCAAAAAAGATAAGACATGTTGACCGTGGATGAAAGTAAAACAACACCGTCACAAAGCCAATTCACCCGCAAGGTCAACACAGGAATGAGCGCCATTTACATTGGAGATGTCGTTCTCATTGGAGATGTCGTTCTCCTCTGAGAGGTCTCTTTTCGCAGTGAATCCGGAGGGCGAAGTCCAACGGCTTGGACCAGTTTTGAGGAAACCGGGCAGCGACGATGGTAATGGTTGGCGTTGGCTTCGTCCCATCCAAAGGGGCCGTGGATGTGAGTTTGGCACCACTTCATACCACTTCCTCCATGGAACTGCTGGACAAATCATCCTCAATTCCATTGGTTTGCCGCCGGTTGCACCGTTTGTGGATCGTTTTGTGTCCGCGCCATGTGGTCGCCGGGTGGTCGATGTGGTCACCGGGTTGTCCCCGCAGCAGGAGACCTTGTTGATCAACTCTTTCTACTTGCGCTTTTCACAGAAGGTCCGGGGGGGCCACGTGGGAGCTTGCAGATGTGCGTACATGCATGTACATGCGTACCATTCCTCATGCGCACCGTTCGTAGACTCTGGTGGATGAGCGCGCCGTTCGTCGGGACGGAGGTGATATTGAACAACCAAGACCCAGATGACCTAGCAGGAACCTGCAGGTCTTAGTCATAGATTTGCATGGTATACCGTATAGACTCTAGAGTTCTCATGAGTTCTCCGTTCCCTTTCTTTTTGGCGAACCATCCATTCATCGCCCTTCCAACCATTCATCTCCCAGGCGCGGGCGCATGGCATCAAAGTGACGTGGCTCGGCCGGTTTCGGGGCCCATCGGCCCCGGCTGAGGATGGGGGGAGGGCCCGGGGCCGAAGGATGCCGAAGGATGCCGAAGGATGCAGGAAAGCACCCGAGCCTTGACATAGCCGGCCATCGTGAGTCTTCAGTGTGAACCATCAGGCCTGTTTGTGCAGCCTGCCCATCCACCTGCCAATTGATGTTTGTAGCACCGCCATCCGTGGTGCTCTTAGGTGTCAGACGTCAGGGTTTTCGCGTCGGACGGCGAACAAATGGGCGAATGTTCGATGGCCGCGACGCCTAACTTGCCTTGCCTTTCAATATAGTAAGTTGTTTCACTAAGCCCCGATCCAGAACTGTTCCCGAGTGGAGGATGTTCTGACTTGCTTGTATATCTTGTATCTTTTGGATCCGGACAACATGTGACCACGTTTGGATCCGAGATTCACAGGGAGTGGTAAGGATGATCCCTTGAAACATCCGAATGCTCGCCTGGCCAACAAGGTCGCCCGTCTGCTCGCAGTGGACCCAGAAGTACAAGCCAGAGGCGAGGGCTGGATGCGGGCCATCGTGCGCTGGAGGGAGGGCTGGATTCTCTCTTCCGCAGGTCACCCAGGATGAAGCAGTTCCAGGGTAGCGGAGCAGGTCGTGGGGCGCCGACAGGGGAGTTCTGCAGTCTTAAGAAGGAAGGGCGAAATGAATTCTGGGAAGGTTCCCAAGGCGTTTCTGTGGTTCCTGAGTCTTCGGTTTCCAGGTGGACTTGATCGGGATTGGTCAGATGCTTTCGGCGTCCGTTTCGGTCCAACAAAAGGACCCGACCCCCTGCGTGAGACATCCCACCGCCCCCCAGACCAGATCAACACCTTTGGGTCCAGTGGGTTGGGACGGTCAGACACTGGGTTGGGACGGTCAGCTTGGTGGGAAGCGGTAGATCCAAGAGACCATGCGAGTTTGGGTGAGACAGCGCACATCTTTGGTTTCCTGCAAGAGACGGCGTGACGAGTAATTACCACACACACATACACACGCTCCCAATAGGATTCCTGTTCCGTTTGCCATAAGCCTATAGCCTATACGCAGTCCTTCTCGTTCCAAAAGGCCAAACTCTTCCCGCCACAGGCACCGATGGAAAAGCGTTCCTACGAATGGTATTTTCCAGAGACCAAGCGCGGGAGCTCCCAGCAGAGGAACTCAAAACCGGATGGACATACATAGTGGCGTTTCGGGCGGAGTTTGCCGAGAAATTCCACCGCAGATGCAAGCTATGTTGACAAAGACTTCAGGTTTAGCAGGTGTTTTGTATTTTTAAAGTTTGTGGAACAGACCCAGCTTTCATGAAGAGAAGCACCCCTTCCTTCGTTCTCGAATTCTGACACACCGGACCACCTCCAGGATTGGGGACCGGTCCTGTGAAGGCCCTAGGAGCAAGTGCATCGCTACTAGTAGCTTCTTGCTACTAGTGGTAATGCCCTTGTTACTAGTAGCGATGCCCTTGTTACTAGTAGCTTCTTTCCAGCAATGGCACATCAGCTAGTGGGTTTGTGGAGAGTCTCACACCATCGACGACCGCTCGGAAGAAGTGGAGCCCGTTGTGATCCACTGAGAACGCCTTCATTTGGGCCTGCATGATGCCAAAGAGGAGGAGGTGACGCAGGGCACGGCCGTGAAGAGTTGGTATATGCCACTCTCAAGCCCCTTGGCCCTTGGCCCTTGGCAGGCCACCTGGATCACCCAAAGTCCATGCGTCTTGTGGAGGAACACGGACTTCCAAGAATTGGTCGCTTTGGTCTTAAAGACCGTGCCGTGTGGTTTCTTCTTCACACCATGGGGCCATGGCTTCACCCCACAGACCTTCCACCCCTTCTGGGCGCCGGAGGGTTTGGGCCGCCCAATGCGACGTCGAGTGAAACCCAAAAGGGGCCACCCAAAGAAGCGGGACCCCCGCGGCGTGGACGGGACCGTGAACCCTGAGAAGCGAATTCGGGCAGTGGAGGAGGGTGTTGGGGGGCACCTTTGGCTCGTCCAGTCCCCGATCTGTTCGCATTCTTTTGGGGCCAGCTAGGAACGAAGGTTCACCAGCAACTCTGCCGCAGTCGCAGAACAGAGCCTTCGTTTGCCGACCAACGATCTCTTTCCGGTCTGAACACTAGCTTCTGTTCAGGATGGTCATTTCCCCATTTCCCATTCTTTTTGATCCTGTTTGGATCATAGCACGCGAAGTGGCGGCTACAAGGTTCTAACGAAGAAGGCCGCGGGATTTTCCTGCGCCAGCTCTGCTTGAGAGGACCTGTGGATCTTCCTTCGCCAGCTCACCGGTCTGGAAGACCTGAACGCTGCCAAGGCGCGGTCTGTACGGTGGCGGTCTGGGGGAAAGATGAGATGGGAGAAGAGTGATCAGTGATTCAGAGGTCAAGGCGTGTCCTGAAAGACCACCCATGAACACCAGACGGTCCTGAACTTCCAAGCAAATCATATACCTCTAAATAGAAGTCCAGTTCGACTATACTTGGCACCACCGAAGTACAGGAAATTCCCTTTCAAGCCTTTCAAGTCTCAATTGAAGGGTTTCACACCTCCAGCGGTCCTCCACCCAAATCTGGCTTGGATTCGGCGATTAGGCAAAGGAGGCAGCTGTGCGGGGACAAGAAGTAATTTTTTCATGGCGCATCAGGAAATTCATCGAAATTCACTTGGAGTCTTGGTCCACCTGGAGCCAAAAACCTCGACCCATAGGGGGATAGGTCAAAGCCTGGAGCACCAGTCCACCATGTCGGACGGTCAACCAAGGTCTGCCATGACCCACAGCCAGTTTTTGGGCCTTTTCCACCATTTTCCACCACCCCAATGGATGTATATGCCGGTCCCATTGGTCGTGTGGGTACGGACCTAGGATTTTTGTGGTACGGTACCTTCCCAGGCTCCGGGGTGTTCGGTCCGTGTTCCGTGTGGATCCCGGACCATGTGGGGCGGTCCGACTCTGGAGAGCCGGCTCTGAGGAGTTCATCTGGAACAATGCTGGGAAGTATGGCTTGGAGGCGCGGCAGGGAACGAGCACACTGCACAGTTACACCGTACAGCAGAAGTGTCAAGAGAGACAGAGAGAGAGAGAGAGAGAGAGATGCTGAGAAGATCTGAGAAGTGAATTTCCAGAACCGCCTTCACAAAACTCGAGGTGTTTTTTTTGGCTTTTGCAAACTCGATCCTTTGTTCAACTTTGTTCCCTTCTTTGCTTTGCGAAGCAAACGACGCAAGCTCCGTTTGGAAGCTCCCGAGCAAGCGGATATTAAGAAGGGGTTCGCGCAGGACTCGCGCGCAGGACGAGTCAGGGTCGGCTCGCAGAGTCGTCCTATCGACCAATCCTAGGGGAAAAACGGGGGATTACTTTAAGCTTTGACAAATCTGTTGTTTTCTTTGAGCTGCATCCCATCCATATGGTGAGTATGACGACCTGCGAGGAGATTTGCTGTCAGACGCTGACAGATTTTGAGACCGCCAATGGCACCAAAGCGATCTCCGTTGCACCTTCCACCCCCGTGGAGGATCTTACCCTTTTACCACCACTTACCCCCATCCCCCAAAGCTCAATGGGTTTCCGGAGACGAATGGGCCGAATGGGCGAAACTTCAAGGGCCGTATTAAAAACGGTGGAACTTCTGAACTTGTAACATGGAGATTTGAGGTGCGGGGTGTGGGAAACATATGATGTTCTGGGGTTTGTTGATTTTGTCCACCCCCACTGTACATTCTTCAGGGCTTCCAACAAGTGACCCTTTGAGGTGCCGATGCTGGTCCACCTCGTTGGGTGGTCGGGCCTTCGTCGCCTTCCGCTGAGGCCTTCCGCCGTGAGGAGGTCTCGTTGGTCCTGGGCTGCTTCGTGCGATGGCCGGGGGGGGAGAGAGGAGCGAGAGGAGATCAGTTAGCTTCGGCTGGTACTCAGGTTATTGGGGTTGATTGGAAGGCACATACATCATCAGGGTGGCTACTACTGCCACCCGAACTGGGTGGTGTATGGTGGGGTTGGTCGATTTGAGTCGGCTTGGGTGACGCATTGAACTGAACCTGGATTCCACCCTTTTGTTGGGACTCTGGACAGATGGTCCTCCTTCATACATCAATGGTTTGTTTGGTTGTCCATCTATCTAAGAAAGACACATTCTATTGGAGAAGGGGGTATGTTTGGCACTAGTCATCTCAAGGGAATTCATGAATGAAAGGGTCTGGGTGAGAGCTGACTCCCGATTCCATCTTTCTTGCTCGCAAACCACTTGTTTTATTTTTTTTTAAGCCTCTAACCGTTAAACCTAACCAGTTCAGGGTTAGCATGGTCAGCATGGTCTTGATAACCGCTTTGTTTCCTAGTCCATGAAACAAGCTTCTGTCTCAGCTTCACCACGGAAACTGCTCAGTCTGACCTTGGCAGGTCAGGCGAATCGGCGTGGTTACCACCCCCCCCAGTCACCGGCTGTCGTCCATCGCTGTCGTCCGGTCCGGAGCGGAAAGCAGGTCCGAGAAGGCTCGCATGATGGGTCTCCTGAGCTCCACGAAGCTGCGCGCAGTCCATAAAGCGGGAGGGCCGAGCTGGTCGTTTGGGCGGGTGGAACCCAGAAGCAGGCGGGACCCTGAAGCAGGTGTGTTTGTTTTAGTCTGTGGAAATGTCAAGGAAGCATGGTTTACCAGGTAACCTTTCACACCCAGCCAAATGACTAGAACCATCGAGACCTGGGTTCATCTCAGCTCGAGCAAACCCCGAGCGCAGTTGCTATGGACATTGTTGACAAGTGGGGTTCAACAGGCGAAGTGGCTGATGGCCTTTTCAACAAAACTGGTCAGTGGCAATAGTTCAAGGCAGAGTTTGAAGAGAAGGAGCCTTTCTTGAATTGGCATGTTCCTTGGATCAATCTTCATCGACTGCAGACAGCAGCTTCGCTTCGATCTTCGATCGAGACGGCAGACGACCCGTGGATCGACCGAACCAACCGCCGCGACGAGCGCCGCGCCCGGTTCCGGGGTCCTGCCGCACGGGGGCGCCCGGTGGCCAGGATGGAAAGAGCGTGGAGTTTCTACTCTCAAACGGCGAGAAGCTTTGGATGAGTTCGGACCGGTGGGCAGGGGAACATGCCGAAGAGTTGCAGGCTATCTGCTGCTATCTCAAGCCAAAACCCGAACTGGTTCAGTTCTGCTACTGAAGGAAGACACCCTGCAGCATCTGCAAGCTGGACAAACCCGTCTTAGCGCTTCCAGCGAAGAGTGACATGAAAGAACCAAGCGGTGTTCCGGGTAGAGTAGATCTTGATAAGTTCCTTTGGATTTGTGGGATTTGATACCCATGCGGTTCGCGGCTTGGAGGCCACACCATGAAAAGCAGGCTCTTTGCTGCCTCGTGGCCAACCGCAACGTAAACCTCAGCATCTCCGGGGTTGTATGAATCAATCGTCGACAGGAGGATCTGAAGGAAGAAGAAGACCTTTGGACGTGGATCTTAGATTTGAGCCGCGTGCCAATGCAAGTTCGGGCACCCGGCTTCACTGCGACGACTTATTTCGGGGTCCTTTGGCGCTTTGTTTCTTTTTTTTGGCGAGGGAGTGCACCTATCTATGGACCTATGGTTGGGTCTGGTCCAGAACGGGCTATGCGTTCCTCGCTGGACTCTTAGAGATGCGGTCGGTGATGCAGCCCCCCCAAAAAAGCTCGATGCACGGGGTCCGCTGAAGCGCGGCAGTTTCGTTGTTCTGTTTTTGGGGCCTCTTCAGCTCGGCGCTCGGCCGGCCCCCTTTGAGTCATTGGTGGGAGCAGAAGAAGCTCGAGAACATGATCCCTGGAAGGCCGGGCGTCTCGGTGGGCGCCGTTTCGGTGATTTGACGGCAGAGTTGGCATGGGTGAATACCGCATCCAAAGCAGCGTTGAATCGGTGGATTCCCAAAGAACCCATGGTTCTAAGGGTTTTAGACGAAAGACCAGGTGTGGAAGGCATTTGTGCTGAACCATTTATGTAGAAGACCTCCCATCCGCGAACCTTAGTCGCGCGGAAGATCAGGGAGCAGAGAATTGGTTCCCTAAAAAGTCGAAAGGAAAGGCTCTTCTTTTGTCGAAGCAAAGGAAGTTCCCAAACTCAGGTACCCTAGTCAGACCATTCTTTTGAACAGTCTTTGACTCTCAGAAGATCTGGCTTCCAGAGTTTGGCCGAGCATCCAAAAAAAAGGAATCAACATCGGACATGGCCAGAATGGTATCGTGATCTGCAGGGTCAGCATCATTTGCTGTAGATGCCCTTCCCCTTCCCCGCAAGTTCTTGATGTGAATTTCCCACTCTCTGTGTGGGCACCAGCGAGTCGTTCTGTCTTGGTCCTCGCGGACACAGCATAAAAAGGAGTTTTGGAGGAGTTCTCCGTCTCTCTACCAGTACCCGACTGTAACAGGTCTCCTCTAGAGCGGTTGTGAGGCCCTAACGAGGTGGAAAATGGTTGAAGTTCTTGGAGTTCTCTCTACATGTGGGAGGATCTTTTTGCACCTCCGCCGCGGGTGGCTTTGGAACCTTTCGCCTTGGACCACGACGGAACACCGCGGGTTCCGTTCGGCTTTTTCATCCACCGATGGGATGACTGGCCCCCGTCCTGCAGGATGGCTCATGGAAGAGCTCGAAGCCTAGCGACGGCGGTTTGCCTTCGTTGGCCTGCGATGAATGACGCAGTTTCGGGTGGGGGGGAAGGGAAGGGAAGGCCAGTCCACGCCTGGTGTTTGGTGCTCGAGGGAAGGCGGCCAGTGGGGCGCGCCCGCGGACGGAGCTGGAATTGGACCGAGTGTCTAAAGGGCCATCCGAGTCGGGCGCCATGCTGCTCAACTGTGCTGCCCATCCAGATCACCTCAAACACGGTCAACCAGTCACATCCAGTGCTGCCTGTTCATCAACGTCCAAGTCAGCTCTTCCGAATACCTGATGAACCCACTACATCTACATATCAAATCATATCCATAATATATAATATATATATACACATAAATGAGTCTGGTTCTATATAACGGGTGATGCACCCCACCTTTCCTGCCCCAAAACGTCCGAACTGTCCGCTCGAAACCTCGTCCGAAACCTCGCCCAGGCAAGGCCCGTGAGATGTGGAACCGCCCCGTGAGCGACAAGGTGGAGGTCGTCTCCACGCCGAAACAGGACGTGTGGACCGCACGACGGGTCCACGGCGAGTGGAAGGTGCGGGGAGGTGGGAAGGTGGTTGCGACGTTTCAGTGGCTTTGATCCAAACAGGTTCTTTTTGATGCAAGAAGAGACTCTGGAAGAGAACATGCATGAAGAAGTGGTACAGCTCAAGCTTCCAAAGTCGGAAGTTGCGGTCCTTTCCGGTCCCTTTCGGGGCGAAACTGCCCGGGCTCGGTCCTCAAGCAGCGCAGAGGCTTGCACTCTGTGGAACCTCACATGGTTTCGTGGATGGCGCCCCACGTTCTTTACTCTACTCTACAACGTGTGACCATCGACATGGGGGGCATTTGTCACCCACTATACACAGGGGGGCATGATATAACCCACTTCCATGTGAGTTCCGAGGCCCTGTACACTCCCTGGAAGACTCATGGGCCCTGAAGACTCGGACTCATGGGCCTGGTGGTGAACTCCTCCAACTCCACGTAGCCATGGAGTATTGGGAGTGTACCGGTGACCAGCACCGTAGCCAGCACCTGGCTGCAATGGAGACGTGGCTTCAAAGTCTCCGGGTGGTGACGGTGACCTGGCAGGTCTCGGGTGCTGAGTATGGATTTTTTCATGATTTTTTGCTGATCAGTTGGCTGGTTTGAGGGGGGTCAATGTATGCAATATATTCAGTCTGATGGAGTGTTTGGGAAGGTTCCTCTGGTGGGTATGGTATGCTCTGATCAGCTCAGATCAGCTAAGACATTCCTGATCTGCTCAGCACTTCTCAAGATCTGCTCAGCTCGGCAATGGTGTACGTTTCTTCCCTTCTGTGGTGTTTCTTTTTCCTTCCCTGAAGCTGCTGGAGTCTTGGCATCCCAATTTGCAGCCAGAAGTGCCAGCAGCTGTAGGATATCGGAACTGCTCCTTTTGAGACTTGGCAACGCCAACCCCTCAACCAACCCTCCCATGGGGCCCAACCCAAGAACTGAAGCTCCGAAACCCGGGCGCAGTGGGTCGCTTTTCGTGGCAAAGGAGGCCTGGTGGGAAGACATGGCGGGAGCCTCGGTTTGCCGAAGACGCTGGCTGCGGAGCGAAAGGACGGGTTTGGAGTGAATGAAAGAGGTGGCCACTTGTTGTATAGAATCCAACCAGATTCAAGACTCAACGACAGGTTGCTGTTTTCCTGCAGCAGGATCCTCCAAGATTTTTTGCATAGGATCCTGCAGAGGCGAGCGAACACCTCCACTGGTTCCAACCAAAGTTCCTCTTCCCCCAGAACGGCTTCTGAGGCCGTCCGCGATGAGAAGGCGCGGTCGGAGACGAGGGGTACCGGGTATCTCTTGGTGCGAGGTCGGAGCGGTCATACCGCTCAAATACACCAACCAAGCGTGAGCTTTGGATGAATGCAAGCCTTTGGACGAATGGAACCAGGATTTGAATGATGATCTGGATCATCAGCTGCTTGAAGAGTACTTGTACTGGTAGGCGAACTGGAGGCGTTGTGACAAGGGCGAACGACTCGGTCAGTGGGGCAACACATTCGATGAAGTAGCTGGTTCCGCTAGCCGCTAGCTGGTTCGGGTTTGCAAAGGCACCTTGCGGATGGATTCTGCATCTGCAAAAAGGCACCATAAGGGGTTCCTCCTCCCCAACTTCCTGTTTCCGAGCTTTTTTCCTCTCCGCTTGAGAACCGAGACTCGAGTGAGGCCGCACATCCGGGCACCCTGCTTTGACCCGTTTGACCTGCCAACCAGGCCAACCAAGCCACACAGAGCTCGGAGCCTCGGGTTGTCCCGCGACCCGGAGCCTCGGGCCGAGCCACTTGCGACCGGGTGTGGGCACCAAAGGCTTTGGTTGGTGAGCCCTTCACCACCTTCTCCGAGGGTCAACCACAGAAGGCCGTGCCGCTGTCACTATAATCAAGCCAATGTAATTGTCCTGCTCTCGCCGCGTGGCTCGCATGGACGCTGTTGCCGCCGTTTATGCTTGGTTCCCCGGTTCCAGGTACAGCCTATAAGCATCTATAAGCAATATATATATATATACAGTACAAAAAACACGACTGGAACATACAAATTCACCAGTTGTATGTTTTAACATACACGTTTGACTTTTGTGTTTTTCAAAGATACATCCCCCTCAAAATGCAAAACTGCAAGCAATATTCACGTACGTTTGCCACTTGATACGCATTGATATGCGGAGGATGGGAAGCTGGTTCCTTTGTCTTTTGGAGCAGCCTATCGTGGTTGTCGGGTAGCCTGACCACGTTTCGCTGGTTGTCAAGAAAGTCTGCTGGTGGGTTTTGCCGGCTCGCAGTTCGAGGCTGAACATTTGTATTCTTAACAATACTAAAAATACGACTTTTTTGGGGGGTATTTTCCAACAGTACAAAAATACGAAAACACAATTGCATTTTTAAAAATGCAAAAGACGATTTTTTGTATTTGCCAAAAAATAGAAAGACAAAATTGTGAATGCATACAAAAGAAAAATACAAAATATATACACAATTATCCCGGCGAAAAACAGCAGTACATACCACAGCTCAGGGGCTTGGTGGACATTGCCAGGCATGTGGCATGATGAGGGGAGAGAGTGGGCATGCAAAGTGCACCCACCCTGTGCCATCAGCCAATGGAAGCTGGCAAGAAGGCTGGTTCCCATCCTCGTTTCATGGATTCTTTGGGCCCGGACATCTTGAAGTCATCAGCAATTTCAACACACCTTGAAAGAACACTGGCGTTCATCCTTCCGGCAAAGGAAAATCGTGTCTTTTCAGCATCGCTTGATATGGACCAACAAACGTCCGGCCTGTCCACACGTCCCAAGGCCAGACAACCAGCAGGGCTGTCAGGACGTGTGCGCAAGAACCCTGTTACCTCTAAAGTCAAGTTTGGCCGCAAGTGTAAGTAAGTCTCAAGGCCAGACAACCAGCAGGGCTGTCTGGACGCGCGCGTGCAAGAACCCTGTTACAACTAGAGTCAAGGGCGCCTTGGGGCGCAAGGGCAAGCCGCAAGGCCCGGGCGAGGCAGCGCCCTTGCTTGAGTGACGGCAGGGCCGAAAAAACACACTAAGCACAAAAGGTGTTTGGACACCGGCGCGCACATCTCCACACAGACAAAGAATGAGACGTTTCAAAGGATATCATGGGGGATCAGTGCAATCATCTGACAACAATAAACCGCCACCAAAGGAAAACACAACGTATGAACATCGTGGCCACGGAAGACACGCGTTTGGACACGCAAGCGCGTAGTTTATCGAAATGTTTATCATTTCTCAAGGCGGCAACAGGAAATATCGACGTAAGCAGAACACGCATCCTCTCGCCAGCTCAGATTTAATACGAGCAATATGGGGAAGCTCGTCTCAAGCATATCGACTCGCGCGCAATACAATGCTCAAGTGCCAGAACCCAATGCGCAGCAGGCCCATGGACACACAAGCGCACAGTTCATACAGGCAAAACATATACAGAGCCCGAGACGCAACTACAACATAAACAAGCAAGACACCACCAAAACATCAACAAATCACCGCCAAAACAGAACCAATACACCACCAACACCACCAAATCAGCAAAACAAGACACACACACACACCACCGAAACATAACCAGCGCACCGCCCGAGTACGAGTAAGACACCTACGAAACATGGCCGAGATACTGCCCAAATATAACCGAGACACCGAGAGACCACCCAAACATGACCAGCGCACCACCAAAACATGACCGAGGCACCGCCAAGGCACAACCCATGCATCACTAAAACATGACCAAGACACCACTTAAACATGATGGCAAGACATACCACCTAAACATGGCCGAGGGAAGGCCAAAACATGACCGAGACACCACCTAAACATGACTGAGGCACCACTTAAACATGACCGAGACACCACATAAACATGACCGACACGAAACAGAAACACGACCGAGACACCACCTCAACATGACTGAGACTCCACCTAAGCATGACCGAGACGCCACCTAAACATGGCCAAACAACACCTAAACCACCTAAACATGACCGAGACACAGCAGAAGCATGACCGAGACCCCACTTAAACCACCATCTCAAAATGACCGAGACACCACCTAAACATGACCGAGACACAACAAAAATATGACCGAGACACCACCAAACATGACTGAGACAGAGACACCACCGCCCACGCCGGGGGCTGTGGATCGGACGGCGCCCAGCCGCCTAAAGAGTGTACAACCTCAAGCGTGCACATGGGCAAGGTGTTCGAAATCTGCGTTGAGAAGGGATCAGAACTTCCCCTTGGTGACCCCTTAAGGAAATACAAGGGAAGAATGGTCTTTCAGGGAAACCACGTTAGGGATGAGAATGCCGACGTAGCACTATTTTCGGAGCTAGGCTCTTCGCCCGCTACAATGGAAGGTGGTGGATGCCTACGGTTCCCAACCAGGGTACACTGCCGAGCAAGCTGATGGCAAACAAGCCTACACCCCAGCACCCATGCAGGGCGTCGATACTTGGGTAGGACTTCCTCGAGATTGCTGGCCGAAAGAATGGGTAGGTAAATAGAATAGACCCGCATGCCGACTTCGCCCAGTCATCCCGTCCAGCCGCGTGAGCCGGGAGTTGGGTTGCAGCTTGCTTTCGGTGGACTGGGGTGTGGCAAAGACGCAGCCAGTAGCCCCAGCCACCGAGCAATGTGGGGCCGCATTGGTCGAGGCGCGCCCAACTTGCGCAAAATATGTGTGGCCATATACGTATGATGTTCCTATGCTCCTGCGCCGTTTGACGCAACTGCTACAATGATCATCCTGCTGATCACCCTCATTCACAGTCACGCTCGGTTGAGGCCATCTGCGGTCGAGAGGGCGGCGGGATCACTAACCCTGTTAACCCCCTTACCGAACCCAAACTTACAAAACGTGCTTTACTAAGGCCAATGCATTTTTTGTTTTTTGGGGCTTGATGAAGTAAGATGAAGTGCCCGCTGCCCGGTGAAACGGTGTTTTGTACGCCTCCCCATGATGGCGAGCCCTTTCGTCTTGAGCTTCTGACTCTGGCTAGATCACGCTTGCTCTTCTTGGGGGTGCTCCGCTGGTCCAAGGCACTCAACGGTGCTGGAAGTTTGAGCAGGGCCGATGCCTGTACGGAGAGAAGTGTCGCGACTGGTCGGCAGAATGTGTGGGGAGACTGCACCTGTTCGGAGTTTCCTTTCAGGGTCCGTCACTTTTGACATAGGTAAGCCCAGAAGAAATCAGTCAGATCCAGTCATTTTCGAATGTTGGCCAACCGTATAGACTTAGACACCTCAAGCCATGGGGGTGTTCACGCAAGTTGTGGGATCGACTTGCAAGCACCAGCGCACACCACGAGAAAGATGTGCGGAAACACGTAAGACAAAGACACCGAGACATGCACTGTATTGTACGGATTGTTCGCGTTTTTTGGTTTCGGAAAATGTGTTTCCACCACCACCCTCCTGAAATGGGATTGGCAATTAGATTTGCTAGAGGATTCAGGAACGTGATAGATTCTATGAAATTGGGGGAACCGCAACAGACCCAACAAGCAAGAACAAGACTCTTTTTCCGGTGGACACAAAGCCCCCATCGAGTCTCTGGCTCCTAAGTGCTTGCCTTGAGTCGAGCGTGGGCCGTCCAGTGCATTTTCACACCGGCCCTACTCGAACGGCCAAGCGAGACCAAGAGAACGTCATGCGTGGTGCATTGTGTTCTATGGCCTGTTTCGGAGAGTGACCAGTAACCAGTATTGCAAACACATCTAAGAAAGTCCGCGTTCATCTTCTTAGTAAGGGGATCCGCGATCATGTTATCACCAGCAACCCAACGTAAGGAACCCCCTGATCTATAGAGATCATCTTTGAGTATGGCTATGTCTATAGCCGTTCTCTTGTCCTCTACTTGAGAGTAGGTACATACCAGCTTGTTGATGCAGTCGTATAGCGACCGAGAGTCAACTACTGAGACATAGGGGATGGCTGCCAAATGCCGCTCCCAATCCTTGGATTCCATGGTCGTGCCCATCAGTTCGAGCAGGAGGTAGCGGTGCCAGTGAATATGGCCAATGCCATGTACCAGCGATTGGCATTCTGCGCTCAGGGTGTTGACGGTCTTCCTTTTGAGTTTTGTTGACTTCCATGAGGTCACGGAAACCATGTGAGGTCGATCTTCGGTTTCCATTCTCTTGTCATAAAAGATCATCACATAGCCTCCTTGGCTGCTGCAATTGAGGAGCTTGAGGAAGGTGTCATTGATCTTTCCGTGTTCCAACTCATGTCCGGGAAGCTGTTTTGTGAAGATGGTCTTTCCAGTCCAAGGGGAATCCGACCAAGTTCGGACACTATTTCCTTTTGTCCATTCATCTTCCAAGACTTCTTCGTTTGTGGTCATCGTTCTGCGACCTGGTTGTAGATCGTGAAGATCTGGTCCTGGATCGGCTCCTGGATGGAATAGGACTCTTCTGGGAGTGACATGATGTCGAATCCAGTGTGATGGTTTCTCCTCCCAGTAGTCCTGTGAACTAGCTTCCAACTGGTCTTGGCTTTTGGCGTTGGACCATGAGGTGTCCGTTGCAACTCCGATTCGCAGGTTCTCTGGCTGGATCGGCATGATCTTTATGCCGCTTGAGGGATGTTTTTGGGCCTCCTGAGTGATGGAATTGGCCTCGATGATGTCCTTGATACGAGGCTTTGGAAAGACCTGCTGAAGCAGGGCTACCCTTCCGGCCAAGTCGGGTCTGCTTTCCTTGGCAAGCCAGGCGAGGGCACCGACACTGGCTCGTAGTTGTGTGATCTCCTTGTCGTCACAAAAGGTGTATCTCTTTTTCTTTCGTTGTTTTTCCAGGTTGATCTCGAAGAGCTTCTCCTGGACGTAGTTCTCCTGGTTCACGATGATGCTCGAGTCCTCTTGTTGGACGAACATTTTTCCGGTGAACTTTCCTGATCCGTATTGGAACTTTCCGAGCTTGTATTTCACTTTGATCTGGTCCATAGCCTTCTGATGTTCTTCGTCACCTCCATGGAGAAGGTCATCCGTAGCGACCGCAATTACGCCGCTGAGGATCAGTTTGCCAGTGTTTGGACAGGTCCGATGCTTGTAGTATATGCATGGATCTGCCAGCGACTGCTGGTATTGCAGTTGGCTGGTCAGGAACTTCTTGAGGTGGTTGTACCATGCCAGTGGACCGTCAGTGAGTCCATAGCAAACCTTCTCGAGTTTGAGGAGCTGGAATACCTTCACGAGGTGGAGTTGCATAAAGAAGCCGTTCGATTGCATCTCCACTATGGAATGCCTGGGTGAAGTCCAAGAAGCCGAGCTTCCAACGATGGCTTGCGACCAGTTGGGCGACCATGAGAGTCCCTTCTCTGGTAACCTGAGGTGTTGTTGCCTCTATGTCCTCGGAGCCTTCTTCACTGAATCCTTTCATCACATGTCGGGCTTTAGCTTTGCAGGGCTCTTCAGAATCCCAGTCGAGAAGGATCCCTTCCTGTTTGGCTGGTTCTACTTCGTGAGGTTCCAGTGGTTTTGGGGTGAGGACCAATCGGCTTTCCATGATTCGGTGTGGCATGGTTTGTCGAACCTGCGCTGACTCTTCTGGGGAGACAATGGAGTATGCCCCAATGTTGATGTTGTTGTTGAATTCCTTGCTAATCGCCGCCTTGAAGCATTTCTGATTCTTGAAGCTGAGTTCCTGGAGGCGGATCTCCTTTTTCTGTCTTGTTTTCATCAGGTTGTCAACTTTGGTCAAGTAGATCTCCAGGTATTCATGTCTCAACCGTTTCAAGGGTGGTTGTTCGTGCGCTTCTCCTTCATCGAATTCTCTTTTGTTGTTCTCGTCCATGGTAGGATGTTCTTCTGGTTGTTCTCCTGGTACTTCTTCCGCAGGAAGTTCGTCCTGATCTTGTTCTCGTTGATCTTCTGCTGTAAGGGGTTGATGAAGGTTTTCCTGTGGTGCCTTTGTTCGGTATCTTTTAGCTGGAGGTGGGTAACCCAGAGGCTCTTGAAGTCCGTCTAGTACTGGAGCCATTGGATTCGGATGGCTCGTAGTCCAGATCTTCTAGATCTCCATCGGCCAGTTCTGGAGGTAAAGGTTGGTCGGAGAGGTCGAGAAAGCCCCGAACCGGTTCGGTATGGAGGTCCTTTTTGATATTGACAATGTCATCAAGCCAACCAGAGAGAGCCATGTTCTCCTCGGATGATGCCCTCCGAAGACGTTCCGGACTCGCCTTGACCAGGTTTGATTGGTATGCTAACCAGATAGTGCTGGGCTGGTCGATCATGATGATGCGAGCTGGTCCCTGCCAGTAGCCTGGTTTGAACTTGAGCTTTTTATCCGCTCCCATTCGATAGAAGTAGACGATCTCGCCAATGTCGTAATCCAGGATCGGTCTTGGTCCTGACGAAATAGCTCTCCGCAGGGCGTTGTCGGCATCGGCTTCGATGAAAGCCTGAGCTGCGGCCTTCCGAAGCTTCATGGATCTTTCGACGCTGAGGTCGCCGACCTTCGGCGTTGGAGCACCTTCATGGTTTCGATGTCCATCATCTCCAGTTAGTAGTCCTCCTGGTAGGAATGGGTTGAATCCCAAAACACGTTGGCATGGGCTGAATCCTCCCACGTTCATCATACGGTTCTTTGTCATGGTGGTGAGGTCTACCATTTCTTCCCATTCCTGCATGTTACCGCAGCTGTAGGTGTCCATGGTTTTCTGGAGGATGTATTTGAAAGTTTTTCCATGTCTTTCAGTGATGCCTCTTTGATGGGGTGCCTCCACAGCCGCTGGATCGATATAGGTTCCATCTTGTTCAACTTGTTCGGCAAAGGTACCACGAAATTCGCGTCCAAGGTCTAGGGCCATTCTTTTTGGAGGTCCGAACAGTCTCAACCAGTGCCTGTAGGCTTCTCGAACTTGTCCTGGTTTCTTGTTGGGCAAGGGGATCATGAGTTGAAATTTGCTCGACCAGTCTATCACATTGAGTGCTGGCCTGGAGCGATTGCCCAAAGTTGGCAAGAAGACAACATCTACTCCAACACATTCGTTGAAGCTGAGCTCCTTGGGCGGAGCACTCCGTCGTGCAGGTCGGACTTGGGCATGTCTTTGACAGACACTACATTTCAACCGTTTTGCTGCCTCAATAACCTCTGGTTTCGCTTTGGCATATCTAAGTATGCGAACGAATCGATCTGGGCTTGGATGTCCCATTCCGACATGGGCTCGATGTAGAAGTCGGTCCATGGTAAAACGACGTTCAAGCGGTAGTGTTGCATTTGGTCGTTCATCGCTCTCCGGTTCATGGTCTCCTTCATCATCGTCACCACGTGGTTCTTCAGCATGTAGTTCCCATGTTGGACCAGGTAGAACGCTTTCGACTTGGTCTAATCGTCCTGGATCGACTTCGCTGAAGTTCGTGTCCAGGGACTTGTTGAGCACATAGCGTAGTTCCCTGATCTCCGTCTGGTAAATGTCCTGGATGTAGTTCATGGTCAACCATTAGTTCTACTGCCAGTAGTGAGTTCAGGCGATCATTCTCCAGGAACATTTGTTCAGAGGTGATGATGCCTACCTCAGCTCCGATCGAGCGTGAGTAGGCCGCGAGGATGGCTTCTCGAAGACCTTCCGGGTAGATCTGTGCTTTCTTGGACTTGTTGCCGCCAATGATGACTTCATGTTGATGGTCGCCAGGGCATAGAGCGTTCAGGGCCGTGGCGATCTCCGTGCTATTGGTGGCAAAACCAGTCCGTTTTCTTTGGGGTTGGCCAGATTCTCCACGGAGTCCGTATTGGCATTGGTCTGCCTTCGTGTACACTACGTTCGGTTTGGAAAGGAGCTGCTCCATGGCACGATGTTTCCATGAGGAGGCAGCGTGAGGATGTTCCAAAAGGAACTTGATGCCCAAATTATCGCACAATTCGCACAACTGCAGTGCAAACAACAGAAGTTGTTCTCCTTCCGACTTTCTCTTTAAATACTTTTGAAGAAGAGCAGGAACTCGTTCTCGTTTGTTTTTAGACAGGTTTTGCAACTGTGAGTACATTTCACATGGTGGGGCGATGCAGACAAGTCCAGGCCTAACATCTTTCACATACTGCAAGACCTCGTTTCGTTTGTTTGACTTCAACAAATCACAATCCAACTTCAAGTCAAAAGCGCGTCCAGGATTGAGGTTGAAGCGGTGAGCAATTTCTCCAAAACAACCAGGGTTATAGATCTCAGCCACAGTTCTAAGTTGTTTATGAGAAAGTCCCATATGAGAAAGTCCCATGATTTCGGCAATCTGATGTGTCCTTTTCGATCCATTAGGGTGCAGAGTAAACTCCTTGCAAAGTTCATGATTAAAGCTGCAAATCCAGTCTCGCAGTGTCGCGTCTCCATCCTGCGTTTCTGCGAGGATGTACTGGACCTGTCTCCAAAAAGCCACAGCCTTCTTTAAGGCCGCCCTGAGCTTTCTTTCAAGCTTTGGGGTCACTGGCTTGAGGGGCCCCTCATCCGGCGCCAGCGCAGGAAGTCCATGAAGTCCTGGTAGTCCTCCGGTTCGGTCATCCCTTCCTGAGGTGATGTTGGCGTTGGAGTCGAAGGGCGAGGTGGTGCCTCTGAAGGGCTGCTGGGAGAAGCCGTCTCCGTGACAACAGCCTTCTTTTCTTGCCGGATCACCTTGTTGCAGTAGCGGCAGGTCACCTTGGTCAGGAAGGCATTGGAGCCCTTCCGATGGGTTGATGAGTGTGGGCAAATTTCCTGAACCATTCCCTCCAGCACCTCTGCATAGGACTTGGGCTTCTCGCCCGGTTGTTGACGGTACTTCCAGCTGGTCACATCTTTCAATGGCTGGCATGGGGTCCATTGTTTGAACTCGCACTGTTGTCCCGGGTACTTCGGGCATCGAAAGTGGATCTCCTCCTCGTGGTTGGTCTCTGTACTCAGATGAATCTTCACCTGTAGACCGCATCGGCAGCGAGGTCGGGGTCCTGTCAGCATATCGATGCCTGGCAGGCTGTCGATCTGGTCGCAGCGCTGGGTTCTCACCAAGGTCGTATTCTGAACCTTCTTCTGGGACCCGTCCGAGCGTTGTTCCGGATCGCTGATCACGATGAAGCTGTCCGACAACTCGCCACGACGTTTCATCTCGTTCTTGGCCATCTTGGCCACGTGGTGGAGGTCCTCGTCGGACATGTTCTCGATCAGGCGCGCCAGAACTCGGCGTTGGGACTGTGCTCCCATGATGGTTTCCAAGAGATGTTCGAACAGGTACTGCAGTGGCATGAGTACGACCAGTAGCCGACGAGTCAATTGGGTCCAGGCTTTCACAGCCTTGTCCTCCGGATTCGAAGTCTCCGGTGGAGTAGGTCGGCTGCGCTTCTGGCCGGTGTTCTGCATGGCAAGCGGGAGAAACCGATGAGGTCGATGCCGGGATGTCTTGAGTTTTGTCGGGCTCCGGCGGTTTCATGCACGGTTCATTCAATTTCAGGACCTCGAATTCCGGGAGCGAAGTTCCTAATTGCTCGGATTGGGCTCTTTGTAGTGTAGTCAGTTGGAGTTCCGTGAACCTGAAGTGGAATTCGAAGTGCTCCGGTTGGTCCAAGATGTAAGGGGACTGGTTCGTGGTTTCCGCGAAGTCGGAGCTGGAGACCTTTCTCAAGACACAATCCTATGTCACCATGACAATGAAGGAGGAAGCTGAGGGACAAGAGGAACGGTGCGTTGGTGCTCTCGTCGCTGTCGAAGACCGCTGGTTTCAGGAGACTGCCTTTCAGTCCCAGTGAACTGGGAACACTGGCTACCTGGGTGGTAATCGAGGTTTTGTGGACGCTCCTGAACTTGTTGGTCTCGGGGTGAATGGTGATCTTCAGGCCAGGTGGTAGATGTTCACTGAACTTCCTCAAGGTCGTGGCTCCAATTGCCAGTCTCTGGCATCCGGTGTCGACCGTGGCGCACGTAGCGTCATCTGGGGTTAGTTGGGAGTACTGGGATACCAGATCACAAAACATGTTCTCATAGAAAAACAAGTTGCTAATACCCACATAACCAATCTCACCTATTCCCAAGCCCAAAACCGTGTCACTCTCCGTATATGACCGAGCGGTCAAGCAGTGATTCGAAGCGGAAGCTACGTCTGTACAGTCCGCATGGCCTTCGATTGAAGTCCTCAGAATGAGCGGTTCAGGTGTTCTTAGTCCCTGTCATCTCAAAAGACGAGGAGCTGGTTGGTCCATGGCTGGAGAGGTTCTTGTCGATGACCTCTTCCATTTCCAGGCTGCCCACAAAATGCACCTCGGGTGTGTTTTCCAAAAGGTGTGTCTCGTTCGTTCGAGATGTGCCCATCGATGAGGAGCTGCCTGGTTTCATGGGGGGATTCTTGCAATCTCGTTTCCAGTGTCCGATCTGACCACATTGTCGGCAACGGGTCCTCTTCTGCAGCTCGGCAATCGTCACGGAGTAGGATCCTGGTCGTAGAGGTCGATCTCGATCTCCCCGAGCCGAACTGAAGTTTGGTCGTCGACTAACTCCATAGCCTCGGGCGAGTTCCTTGGTTTTCTTGTCCTTGATCGACTGAGTGTAGGTCTTCTTCTGTTGGAGGTAGGTGGAGAGGATCTCAGCCGCCTCCGATTCACTCAGGGCGGTATCTTCTGATAGCCCTTCGTCCTGGAGCTCCATGATGTAGTGCTCGATGTTTTCAATCTCCTCCTGGTCGGTGCCATTACCCTCAATGACCTCCTCGGTGGCATAGACTCCGTCATACTCAGTATGGAAGGTGCCGGCTGCTTTCTTCCGGTCGGCCCCAAGCTCTGAGGCGGACAACTTGGTTTCGTTCTTTCTCAACCAGCTCTTGATGGAACTGGGCTTGATGCAGCCGTGGGTGTAATTCAGCAAGGCCTTGGTGTCGCTCTCGGTTAGCTGCAACCCATTGATCATCAAGAAGCCTTCATACTCAGGCGGGAGCACAATCTTGTGTTGTTGGACTTTTCGAATGGCGTTGTCCCACTTGGCGAAGTATTCCCTCCAGGATTCTGTTTTCTGCCTCCGGAGGTGGTAGGTGATGCGGGACATGGCCGTCAACATGTGCTCCTGCTGGTCATCTCCGAAGCGTTCAGGCTTATCCATATCTTCAAGAAGACGTTCAGCACCTCGTGGATCTCCGAGCCAGACAGGATCTTTTGCCCAGTGCTTGTAGAGCTCGAAGGGTGCTCCTGTCAACATCTTCAACAAAAGAGGTCCTCGCGACTTGGCCTTGTCCTTGGTCGTCGCGATCCATAGTTGGGCCTTGATGTGATAGTCCTCGAATGGGGTCTGTCCATCCCAGGATGGTGGAGGTCCGGAAGCCCCTCTTCCTTCTCCACTCTCATCACCTTCTTCATCTTCTCGCTCACGGCGGCGCCTATGACGTGTCGGACCACGGCCTTCCTCTCTCTCCATCTGGAGAAAGCGTTGGAACCGAGCGAAGGCTTCCCGGTCACTCCCCAAAACGTCCTGCGCGCCCTGAGCCCCCGTAGAGCCAGCAGCTGGCGAGCCGCCGCCTGGCGGGTCATCCAAGTCGCCATCCGAAGGTGGAATGGCCTGTCTATCGGCCATTCAAAAACCTAGACGGGATGGGGGCTGGTGACCACCAAGAAAAAGAGTCGAACCCAAACCAGCCCGGTCGGAACCGGGCTCCGCTACCACTATGAAATTGGGGGAACCGCAACAGACCCAACAAGCAAGAACAAGACTCTTTTTCCGGTGGACACAAAGCCCCCATCGAGTCTCTGGCTCCTAAGTGCTTGCCTTGAGTCGAGCGTGGGCCGTCCAGTGCATTTTCACAGATTCATATAATCCACTAGTTCAGCGCACCCCCTCCCTCAGATCGTTTCATCCCAGGCTTCTCTCATGGCGAGGCCGGTGCAGACTCGAGTCTACTGAGTCTACTGCAGAGCTCTGACACATCCTAAGAAGATCTAAATTCAATGTTTTGGACATTGCAAACTGAAACTTAGGCGTTACTGCAAGCCTAGCAAGATTGGCGTTGGGTCTCTGGTTTTGTGGCACCGCCGTCTGCCATCTGTGAGGTGCCAACTGCTGGAAGTGGTCAGAGAGGCCGGACAAGTCGGTGCGCCGGCGATCCAGCCTGGCTGGGCCCTGGGTTTGTCAACCGGTGAACGGGATTACCCACCCAACGAATGGGGGGAATTGGGGACACTTCGCTCAAAAAAAAGGAGAACAGAAGGCTCGGGAGGTCAGCCCGTTGGAACCCGGTGGTATCCCGTCATGGATGAACATGATGAACGCGTCAACCGTTTTATGTCATATTTGTAATATGTTGTATAGGATTGTATAGGTATATTCAAGATTATATATGGTTATCATTCTCAAACTCTATATATATATACACATATTTATAAGCGTTTTCTGGTCCTTCGAGTGTTCGTTTGATTTCAGGGCTTTGATCCACAACGTTTGAGTGTGTGAAAGAAGAAGGAACCAAGCAATGCCCAGCACAACGTTTTTGGCGGGCCTTAGCTTCCCCTGATTTTGGAGACATCATCAGTTTACAAAGGGAGCAGAGACGCCAAGACCAGCTGTACGTACTCGAACACAGCCGATGCAATTCCCTTGGTACCGGGCCCAAGCAACATCAGCTACGTTGTACCACGGATGTTTTTTCTATGATTCTACGTGTTGTGTACAGCCTAGAACCCATTTTGCATCTCTTTTCATTATGGGAAAAACAATTCTTTGGATGCTTGCTAAACAGCTTACTGCAAAAACTCTCGAACACAGGGGTCATTCACGCAAATAGGTTTCAGTAAGTAGCTGCTCATGGCTGCGTGACGCATTGTGCTTAGGCTGGCGGCGACAGTCCTGGGCCAACGGCAAGGTGGACACGCACAACATGAAATCTTTCTGGGGCGACGGGTGAGAAAAGACACGTCACTGCAGTCCGCTCTTTACTTATGGGATAGAAACCACTAGTAACAAGTGCATCGCTACTAGTAACTAAGGGCATTACTAGTAGTAGCTAGAAGCCACTAGCAACAAGGGCATCTCTACTATAGTAACAAGTGCATCGCTACTAGTACCAAGGGCATCGCTACTAGTAACAAGTGCATTGCTACTAGTAACAAGTGCATCGCTACCAGTAACTAAGGGCATTGCTAGTAGTAGCACTAGTAGTAATGCATTTGCTACTACTGTAGTAGAGATGCACTTGCTACTAGTAGCAAGAAGCTACTAGTAAGACATCGCTTGGGTGGCGACTGAGAAGCGGACCGCGTGGGTGTGCTCCAGAAAACGTCACAACAACTTGGGTGGCCAATGGGTCTACGTTTAATAGACACTCCCAACTTAACCAATGGGTTTTGGTTTATCGCCCTTCTTCAAGCAAGGTTCCAAATGGAGGTCTCCCTTTTTTTAATAGACACAGAAAGACTCGTAACCGCCCACGGATGGTGGTTCCACGCCCCGGGCGTTCCCCAGAGGTTCGGACTTCGCGCTGGCGCGAAGTCCGAGCAGCTTGCTTTGCCATCGATTCGGGAGGGACTGGTGACTGGACCCTGCAGTCAAAGGCCTATTTGGGTACTTACAACCAAGTAGCAGAAGTGGAGATCGATGAACATTCATGTTGAGACGTTCCCCTACAGCGATGCTGTAGGCTATAAGGCCACTCTTGTCGAGGGACTGAACTTCTCTGGATGGACGAACAATGTTTGGCTCAAGACTATCGGAAACGAACTTGGTAGAATTTTCCGGGTGCTGCCCTCAGTGTTTCACTGACGTTGTCGAGCATGAAGTCTATGTCCTGTTTGGGCAGGTGAATATATAGTTTGCTTTTGTTTTGCTCTCAATGTCTCTGCATGTTTCTCGACATTCTGGGCATGGTGCTGTTTTGGTGGAACTGAGGAAGGGCGGGCAGTCATGTTTTGTTGGGAACTGCGAGGGGAGACGTGCACTCGATTCCCCTGACTTTAAACAAGATGCCCCGTACTCTTCTCAAAGTTGGGCCACCTGGGTTGAGGGTTGGTTTGAAGATTCCGACATGACCCAAGACTTGAGGCAGTTCCGTAGCCCGTGATCCTCTGGATGATCAGCTCTGTCTTGGCTGGTGCCCCAGTGGTCTGCTCTGGTGCTTGACAAGACTGGAGTTGTGGAGGCCTCAGGATCACTGTGCTTTGGAACTTGTTTCCCTTTCTCTGCTACTAGTAGCGATGCCCTTGTTACTAGTAACTTGCATATGTGAACTGAGAGCTCGAAACACGCGGTGGAAGTCGACACCCTCCACCAAACCGCCTTTGTGCCCGTCTGTCTTGGCTTAGGCCGGGTGTGTGGGAACTGCTGTTGGCTATGGTTCCTCGGAGAGAAAAAATGCTTGTGGCGGCTTTGAAGTACATTGACAGAAAATTAAAAATGCAGTTGGACCACGGGAAATGACCCACCACCCCTTTCAACCATGAGAATGAGGTTGACATCTTTGCTTGTCCATTCTACTCAGTCGCGGGGAGCATCTAATTAGCGAGTCCTTTCCCAAAGGTCCAAATGTGGTGGAGCTAGAGACTTGTTTCAGCTTCGATCTTGGATTCATGAGAGTATCTCCTTCAGAAGCACTGAACCACACCCCTCCGACTCGGAGGAAGCCCATTTCTTTTGCTCAGACCTTCGGGACGTCATCCTGGTGGATTCCAACCCCCAAACCCTGCTTCTATCAGTGTCCATTGCGCGCGCGGAGGAACGATTCAGGCCCAGACTCCCGCCGCCTTCAGGCGCTGGATCCCATCCCATCCCCCCTCCGCCCCTCCGCCAAAAGATTGTCGTAGTCCAATAGACGCTTTGGATTTAGGTCTCATGCACTCTGCCAAGCGCACCGAGAGAAGCTATGGACGTCGTCCAGCTATGGACCCGTTCTGGAAATGAACGAGGACGTAGTGACCACCCTGTAGTCCCAGGTCCACTCTTCCAAGATCACCCCATTATTATCAACACCAATTCATGAAAAATGCTGGTGATATAGTCCACAAGTGGGTTAAACCGATCATCCAAGATCGATTTCATGCTGCACACCATTTCACACCCACTAGTAACAAGGGCATCGCTATTAGTAGCTAGAAGCTACTAGTAACAAGGGCATCGCTACCAGAGCTAGAAGCTACTGGTAGCCTCCCGTTTCTGCTTTCTGCCTCTTTCCGACTATTCAGGTACTGGGTCCGGTGCCTCAGAGTGGACGGTGAGTGGCCCGAGACTCCCAGAGTGGTAGGGCTGTTGGGGGTGTCGAATCCATTGCCATTGCGGGTTAGATATGGCCAGAGATGGCCAGATGGATCTGTCCTACAAGGCAGGAAGCCTCCAGGATTCCCAGGTGGTTGCCACAGGTTTTTGGTAGACCAATCACATCAATAGATTCACTCGATCTGTGGCGCTTGGAGAGCGGCGAGTGGCAATGGATGTTCACCATGTGGATTTCCTTTGGTTTCTGGGCGCGTTGGACGAGTTCGGCCTTTGCCAGGTCCATGTCGGACGCGTTGGACGAATGCATGACAGCCCGCATGCTCCGCTTAGGCGGGGGTTTTTTCTGTGTCTTTCTGCGAGAAACAGAGAAGGGTTGCTGATATGTTTTATGTGGTTGACCACATATGTATCTTTTTTTCTGGCTGTTCGAGCGATGTCTGGATGGCGATTGATTCGTGTGTGAACCCGGAGGAAACCACTGGACTGACCACCAACGACTTCTGCTCGACCGCTCGACACCCACCCAGGCTGAGCATGGCCTTAAAGACCATTCCCGAATGAAGATTGGGTCAGTCAGTAAACAAGCAACACTATTCTAGAGCAAGGCCTCTACTAACCATTAATGTATAATCATCCACTGTTACTGATAATAGGATAGACCCCAAAGATACAATTTGCACCAGGCTCGCCTTTTTCCTGAAAGCCTGGCCATCGGTGAGCGAACACACAGGAGGAATTATGATGATTTACATCCTACCCCGTCAGTGGATAACTGGATAACCCTAACCTTTTGGGGGATAGGTTTCCCCACTCAACACGAGCAGGTGGACCACGGTTGACCTGGAAATTAGCTGCAAAACCTCGGTGACGGCTCGGGGGTCAGTCATGGGAGTCAGTCAGAGCACTGGACAGCTTCCATTGAATGACATGATTTCGTTGCCCGAAAAGGTCGGAGGGGACCACTCCGGCCGTGCTTCAGGAAGCGCAGCAGCGGCCACTGCTTTGGCCGCAGCTTGGCTGAAAGAAGCTGTGGAAACATGTTGGCAGGTCAGTCACTTCATGAAGCATGGTTTCGGAAGTTGCTCGTGTAGCGCTTTTGGGATGAGCCTAAAGCAATGCTGTGTGGCTAAGGCAATGCTCACCTAAAGATGTCCTGAACTAGAACAAAAAGCAAGGAACGACAATAGAGGCGACCTTCCCCGTCATGGAAGAAAATGCCGGACATGGAGAAATAGCGCGCACTCTCGTGCGGCCAACAAGGCTTCTTGGCTCCAGCTGGGTTCAAAATTCCTTGGCGTTTCCTGGGCGGTCCGCGTCGTGTTCCGCGGTTTTCAAGGGCATGACAGGTCCAATTCCTTTCCTCCACTCCTTCTTCCGCAGCTTCTGCGTCGGCTTCCTCCTTCTGCCACCGAGCTACGGAGCGACGGAGCTACGCATCTCGGAGGTGTCGGAGTTCTCCACGGCGGAGGAGGGTTGTTTGACGCCATGGCTGGAGTTAGAACACTTCGGAGCAAGCCCACTGGACCTTTCTGGGGCGATTTTATGTGGCCAGGACTCTTGTAGTGGTGCTTCTGAGAGTTACACCTTCCCAGCTGGCAGCCTCCTTCCAGCTGCCTCACGTGCCGTCTTGTGCCAGCAATTTACGTTTCCCCTCGGTGGCTTGGAGGCGTCCATTGTGACCCTGGAAGATCCTGGAGGTCAGCGCTTGGCCACGACAGGCTGGATGCCCGGCTGTACCGTGACGACGAGCATCATGTCATGCACCGATCGAATCTTCAGCGAATTTGCGCGTGAGCAGAAGGTCTCCTATGGCCGGTATTTGGATCAAACGGGCTTTTGGAGATATGGTTTTCTGCATCCACCCACACCAGGAGAAGGGGTTCGGATATCTGATTGTTGGAAGTCGAAGTCTTGCTTTGATTTCTTTTCATATGCACTAAATGCACATAAATGCACTCTATATATGACATAATCATATGACATCAATTACATATAATTATGATGGTATATGCTGGTATTATACAATTACCAGTATGCATTAGGTATTTTCTTCCATAAATACTTTGAATCAAATCAACAACCTTTTGGCTCAGAGAGTAGTTCACCGGACTTGGATCATCTCTATTCTGCAGGAGAAGAGAACATCTTGAACTGCTCCAACGGAAGCTCTGGAAGCTGCAGCTATGTCCCTGAGCACATTTGGAACGTGACCTGTGCGGATTCCTATTCTGAGAGCTTTGAGGGGAATGAGGCCCTCTGCCTGGCATCTTGCTCGGAGGACTCCAGGTGCAACTTCTTTTGGGCTGCCCGGCCATGGTTTCGAAGGAAGACTTGACGTCGAGATTCCGCGTCCACGTTTGGGGGACTTGTCTTGGGACGAAAGATATGGTCGCACATTCCGGGAAAGCAATTTGTTTTGGGCTCGTGAAGGTCGGAAAGGGAAGGTTCTCAGTCCTGTTCACCTCGGAAGTATCCTGCGTTGTGACGAACTGAGGTGAATGAGAATGGCAAGTGCAGCAAGTTCGAGGTGTGTGACGACGTCCGGGCGGTGGTGTGGGCGTTTGACGGCAAAGAGACGAGAACGACCACCTGGCGAAAGCTCGTGGGAGCAGCACCGTGGCCAAGCACCCCTGTGTGCACATCTCCCTTCTGGTGCAAGGGACAGGGAGCGGATACTACCTCGACCACGACCACAGTCGATAGTACCACCCCATTGGCCGCCGGCATCAGCAGTGGATCATGCCCTCACGTCGTCCTGCTCCTTTTTGTGTTCGTAGTCTGGGCTTATCAATAGTTGGACATGTTCCGAAGTTCCGTCAGCGTCGCTGACCCGTTTCACACCGCTGGAGGCCGCCAAACCGTGCCAAACCGTGTGGAGGTTGCTGGGTGGGGATTAACGTGGGACTCTGACCGTTGGTCAGATATGCAGTTGCCAAGCATTCCAAAGCCAGGTAGGCTTGACATGGCGCCCCATGGGGGTTTTTCAGCAGGTGTTGGGCGCGGCGCGATAGCATGACCCATTGCCTCGCCGCTCTGAATCTGCGATTTGGGTGTTGAACAACATGAACCAATATCTGAGGACAGCGATTCCTGGTTTTTGAGTTTTCTGGGTGAATTTTTCGTGAGACGCCGTCGCCGCGGTTTCTTTCTGCTGACGCTGAATCTGCCGTAGAGCCAGCCGCAGAATCAGGTGCAGATCTGCATCTTCGAGCGAGCGGGCAAAGGCGCGGTCACTGAAGCTGGAGATGCGCGCGGTGTTTGTGCAAGGCCATGAGACCCTCCGATTCTGGATCTCAAGTGTGCTGATTCTACAGAGAATTGTTAGCATTATTTTGCATGTCAGGGACTGTCCATGAGGATCTTTGTCTTCACAATAAATTTGGGGTCCTTCCAACAGGCGAGTCGATGCCTTTCTTACTCGTAGTTGAAAACACCGTTCGACAGTATCTCAGGACCAGCATTTTATAGAGCAATATCAATGTCTTCAATATCCACAGCTTTTTACACACTCATGACCCTCCATTCTACAGAGCTGACACCTTGTTTCTAGACTCTTTCCCTATATTAATCTCGATTTTGTAGAGTCACCAGTTTCACCTTTTTTGAGGGAGGTTGGTCCCAGCATTTTAGCACTATAAAATCGCTACCCCCGATGCACCCACTTAATTCCAATGGGGAAGTTTTACTAAGGATTTAGACCTTTTTGGACTACAAAAATGGTCTTGGAAGGCTAGCGGCTAGGGTATACATTTCTGGATCCAATTTCTCCTAGCAGACTCATGTCTCTTGTAACTCATGTACATGCCTTCGAAGAGTGGTTCCTTCTTTTGGACCCATGTCTCTCGAACGGGAGGGGGGGCACCAAACTAGCAGTCATTTGTGAAGAAAGTCTAGTTTCTCTGGAAAGGATTTCCATGAATTTCAGGAGCGGCACCATCTGAAGATGTCTTCGGCACTATCTGAAGATGCTGTTTGACGCATCAGCCAGGATCGAAGACCTTGGAAAAGAATTCTGACAGCAGCATGATCTTCCGAGAGGACCAGACATCAGTCAAGACATTTGTATACAATTAAGGATATTGAACCTCAAATATGCCATTCAACAGACACCTAGTCAGTCCCTTGCGTTTTCACCACCAGAGGTCTTCCTCGGAAGAAATCCTGCAGGCAGCACACCCGCACACACAGGAAACCCCTCAGTTGTCCGCTCCTCTCACCCTGGGCAGTCTGGACAGGGTCCCGACCCTTTGGATGCAAAGCGATGTTCTCGCATTGAATGATGGACACTCATTGAATGATGGTGTCCTGCTCTTCATGAGGCCCCAGTGGCTTGGACGCAAGGTGAATATGTATGAATGAAAGTCGCATTCAGAACTGTGGGAACAAAGTCAGTTGACAGCCAATCGGCAGTTTTGGTAGTGTGGGTTCTAGGTCCAAATGATACTGGAAGCCCTTTGCTTTTATCACTCCAGTCATGGAGAACCTCAATCCTTTAGTAACAATAAGCTACTAGTAGCAATTCAAGCAAGAAGCTACTAGTAGCTCCTGGCATTACTACTAGTAACAAGAAGCTACTAGTAGCGAGGCACTTGCTACTCAGTCTGTTTGACTCGCCGCTTCTTCCTCGCGCGAGGAGGAAGGCAAGACTTTGCTGGTTCCTTTGCATCCCAAAAGCAGCTCGAAGGACCACGCGCTCCCACTCCCGGGATTCCTGAAGATCCTGAAGGATTGCTGAAATGACCACCGCAGGAGACAAAATCATACCACCCACGAAATCATCCTAAAGGTGAGCCTTTGCTTCTGACTGAGCTCGTGGCTCGGATTGTTTGGGCCAATCGTTGGCCGGGACGCCGTTCCTCCCACCGACCCGAACCCCTGTCCCCGGTGGGCTCCGTGCATCAGGCGATAGATCCATTTCCATCGCCAGATGGATCATCTTCGTAGATTCTAGATGGGACATCATAGACGCAGAACCTCTCAGCCCTGTGGCCATCCGACCCCCCCAAAATTGCAGCACCTGTTTCCCAGATGGAGGGACAGTAGTAGGTGGTAGGAGGTGGTCGGCTTTCCGCTTCATCTTTGGCCGGGCCCGAGTCCCAAGGCCCCGCGTGCCGGACTGAACCACTCGTCTCCGGACTTCGGACGGAGGAGCTGCGCAAATTCACCGTTGAGGAGGCACCAACCTGCATGGGAAAGCGGGGAAATTGGTCAACAAACGTCAGTCAGAGAGTGCTTGGCTTGATGATGGAGGAGAGAATTTGTTTCCTCAGAGCGTTGCTCAGCCGTGCTTTCCAAGGGGCAGCCTTTCCTCAGACCGAATTGCTTGGTTTTAAACCATCTGGGTGGAGAGACACGGCAGGTGGCCAAGCACAACACTCGAGACAGTTTGTGGATCATTGTCGACAACATGGTCTACGACACCACGAGGTGCGAAGGAGAGAAGGGCTTCAGAAGCACCCGAACAGCAGCAGAAGGTGGGAAGACCTCCTGCCTAGCAGAAGGTGGTGGTCCTTGTTCATCAGAAGGGTTTCTTTCTTCTTGAAACGAGCCGGTTTCATCTGCCCGTTCGCCGTTCGACCGAGCTGTTCGGACGGTTGAAAAAGACCGTCGCGAGGTACATCGACAAGCATCCCGGTGGCCCCTTGATGCTAGAGAACATGGCCGGAAAGGACTGTGCCTAGCTCAGATGAGAGAGGTCTAGCTGGCACAGGGTTTGGTCATAGATTGGGTCTGTCCTATGACCTGTAACAGTCAGTAAACAAATTATCACCATCCCAGACACTCCATGTATGGCATACTTACATACCTTGACCCCTGAAACCACCCCAATGTATATAGGTACATATGCCATACATGGAGTGTCTGGGTATATACTTGAGAGAAAGGCCATTGCTAACCATCATCCTCCACTGTTACTGGTGATGGGACAGACCCATGTCATAGATATTGTCATAGATGTTTGGGGGATATTCAAGCTTTGACAGCGACTTGCTCAGTAAGAGAGGCATGGCTGGCGACTTGCGTTTTCATGGGCAGATCAGCGTCCTTTGAGACCGCTCGGCTTCTGCAACGATGAACATATCCAGCGGAGTGGGGCCTGGACTTGACACCGGAGGAGTGGGGCATCAAAGGATCTTAGACTGCTCGTGTTCATGTTTTGGCACATCCACAAACGCACTGTGAGCCACCCCGAACTCTTCGCGAAAAAAACCAAGTTGCGAGGGGGGATGCAAGGGTGGTCACTGGGAGCAGTAGGGCTGTTCTTCACTTGGCCCCTCACTTATAATTCACTTGGCTCGTCAGCTTGCTTGTGTTTGCTTCCTGGCTCTGCCGAGCTACTTGCACACCTCTCTCGAACTTTCTAGGCGCTTTCTGTGACAATCTCATTCGGAACATGGCGGACTTCGTCCGCTCTCGTCGGGCACCGCGGATCGGAGAGGTGCCTTCGCGAGTCGAACGCTGAGGCACGGATGCTTTTGCGAACTACCATACCGCGCGCGTTTACAAGCAGCTGCTGTCACGGCACCCAGCTGCCGTCTTGGTTCGTGGTTAACGTGTTGGTCTTAAAGAGGTCTAGAGGTCATTCCGGTCTCTCATGAAATCAGATCGGCGAAGAGGCTGGAAACCTCAATGAGCTTTAATGTGCTTCGATAATTTTGATCTACATCTCTGAGATCTGGGGATGGGTCAAAACCTGGAGCTCGGTGGAGTGGTCCGTTCATTGTGCGGTGGTCCACCAGTCGGTCTCCGACCCTTACCCGGGCCGGACGTGAAATCGCACCTGCAAGACGTAGCTGGTGAAGACGGTGAAGGCCACAGGTCAAGTGAGCCTGTTCACCAGAAGGGCCTTCATGATCCTAATTTACACTCGGAATTGATCACGGGAAGTGGATGGCACCAGAGCTGATCCATGTAACCAGGATGATTCCAGGTGGTGTGACAAACGAACACATCGGGAAAGTCCCGTTTCGACCGTTCGAGTCCCCGCCTTTTGGAGCCGAGGCCCCCCCATGCTGATTGGGGAGGCGGCGAGAGGGGAGTGAGAGAAAAACGGCACCCATGGAGAACGTGGGTTTTGTATGGAGAATGCCCAGAAGCCTGAGAGAATGAGACTTCCCCAAACATGCAACTCTCTTCACAGTGAAGGGATTTCGAGTGGGCTGGGACCATCTGGCATGAAGAGAGAATATATATATATATATATGTATATATATATATAGAGAACATGATTTTCACCATTGAATTCCATCCTGAGGAGAGGCCACGCACTGCACTAGCATTCTGACTGCTGCTTCGTATGTTCAAAGCTTTGCTCCCCTTTCTCCGACTCTTCTGAAGTCGCCGTGAGACAAAGCTCCAGTCTTGGTGGTTGAACTTAGTATGCACTCCTCTGATGGAGTGACATATATTGCCAGAAATCGTCACTGGACTCGAACGGCGGCCCTTGGACGGCGGCCCTTCGCCCCCGACGACGGGTCCTGTTCGCCACCGCGTCGACGTCCGCGAACGCCTCCAGGCCACGGATGTGACGGTGCCTCCCCATGTACAGGATTTTCGGGAGGCCAGGGTAAGGTGGTCGGACGGGCTTTGGCCGTTTTGGGCGAAGAATTGCGGGAAGATGTTCAGGAGGTGACTTTCGGCCCTGGAACTACAACTTGATTGATTTACTGGCAAGAGACTTGAACCCTGCAGAAGGCTGCAGCCTGGATTCTTCAATGTTTCTGTTGCGGGTTGACAGCAGCCCGTCATTAAAGCGCTTCTAATCTAGCGTGCCGTTGGGTGATCTTTGTTTGGGGTGTTGGCTTGGGTAGCTGGCAGTGAAGCACTCCGAGAACGGAAGGTGTCCATACCAGCAGTCACAAAGGGGTGCCTATTGGAGGGTAGGGGTGCCCAGCTACTCCACTCACTTAGGGACTAAAAACCATCCCTTTGTGACTGCTGGTAGTTTCTCATAGAACCATGTTTGTTGTTGGACGTGTTGAGCATGGTGGAGACTTATTACTGTACCCCTTGGGTGAGTCTGGGATGGCTTTTCATGCAGAAGAAGGCCATTCTGAATTCTACAACAAAAGCAAGCTTTTGACGCAAAGCTCTTCCAATCAGGGACGAATGTCCTCGGTCTAGCAGTTTCCCTTACAGAACGGAAATTATGCTGGAGTTGAAAGGGAACAAAGAAAGGAACTAAGGACTCCAGTATATAAAGATTATAAAGGGAAAGCCCTTTTTAATCCCTGTTGCTGCACATGATCTAAAATGGGGTGTGACAGTGTGTTCAGATCAAAGTTTCAATTTTACACGACCCATTTAATATGGTCAATATCCCCATAGGGCCGGGTGAGTCAGTGTTGGGACCACAGACCGCTTGTTAAGACTCGCAGTTGGGGCGGCCGGGCCGGCAGGTGCGGCAGGAACTTTTGCGCCGCGGGCTTTTTGAGACAGTGCCCTGGCCTGCCATTTTCGATGACGTGGAGTGTGATATCCACCACTGGTGATTGTGTGGAGTGCATTTTTTTTGTGGAAACAAGTCATGATATGTCATGATATGTAGTCTTAGCCCAAAATGGTTGTTGGCACAAATCAACATCTACAATGCTACACCAGTCTTTCTATACTATACAGTGTGCTTATTGTTCCCTGGGCATGCTGCACAGGACATGCGCTTCTATGCCAAGATGGGTGCATGGCTCCTCGCTTGCACACCACGTAGCGGCCTAGCCCCGTGGGGGCGAGGTGCAACGCTTGGAGCCCGCGCGAAACGGCCGAGCGCCGGCGCCGCCGACGGTCAGCTCCGTACCGACGGATTCATCCCGTGATGTTCTGTTTTTTTTTCAACGAGCCGAGTATGTCCTGCCGACCGGCTGAGGCTCCTCTCGCTGTTTTTGCTCTCTTTGTACCTGTCCCTAGGCGCGGAGAATGGGGATCCGAAGGTAGGTGAATGCTTTCGCCTCAGCATGGCCCCTGGAGCCGAGCAGAACGCCGTTCCGTGGAGCAGTTCCGTAGTCCCGTTGGGACTTAGGACGCTGGGAAGACATCATGTGGGATCTTGGGGTTCTGGGAATTGACCCAAGTCGGCCGAACAACTCTTTAAGAGCAAGGGAAGCAAGGAACTTGCCCTTCAAGAAGGTCTATAGCCTGGCTAGCATCTATAGTCCAATCACTGGTCGTGCAGGGTTTCTGAGGCCGGTGGATGAGGAAACATGAGGAACAGGTTCATCTGAGTAGAGGCAAATCCCAAAAAAACAAAGGCCGCTTTAGGCTGCAGCACCGAACATGGTCATTTCTCGATGGGTCGAGGTGAGCACGAAGAGTATGAGGAGGTTACACGATCACCTATCAGATCCCTGACATCATCCATTGTTACGTGGAGTGAGTGAAAATCACCTAACTTGGCTCTTCGGAATCCATGCTCTGCCGGGACTCGGGCCATGGAAAGCTTCCACGTTGGCCCATGGAAAGCTTCCAGGGAGTGTGTATAGGGGCCGGCCTGGTCTTCCGCTTCTGAATCCTCCCAAAGGATCGCTCCCTCGCCAGGATGCACCTCCACGCGGTCGCACATGCTGGGCGCGGCCGCCGCTTTCTTGAGCCGACCGAACGTTCGGCCGGTTCGGCGGGACCAGCGGAGACCCTCAGGGTCGGGTGTGGGGAAGAACGCCCTTTGAGGGCCGTTGGAAAGGGGCTGAAAGGGGTTGTGAAGCAATTTTCAGGAGGTGGGTGAAATTATGCCGCATGGGGGTCTTTCTACCTAGTTGATGAATATCATGTCCTAGTTTCCGGTCAACGGACTTTAAACAGGACGATGTCAAGGCATCTTGTCCTTTGGCAACAAAGATCTTCACAATCGAAATCGTTCCAAAATATTCCAAGTGTTCGACATTCCATGTATCGTTTCAACCATCATTTTCACTCCATTTCACATGAGTTCCAGAAAGGTTCTGACCCTTGTGAAGATGGCTTGAGCAACCTGTTACCTACAACAATAGGTGGACTCGGTGGACCAAGAATCCGCCTTTTCAAGTCCATGGGTGTCCGTAGCGCCTTAGCCAGGCCCTCCAAATCGGGGACCATTTTCCACTTCCATGTTAGTGAGCCGGAGAGTAACTAGTTTCTTCGTCTTCTTCTTCTTCTTCTTCGTCTTGGATTTGTACTACCTTTTCAATCCAACCCCCAAAATCAGCGAACCCCCCCCCAAGTCTTCTCACCTGGCCGCGGGGCGCTCCGTGGCCGGGCGCGGTCAACCGCCGGTGCCTGGTGCGGCGCTGCGCCGGTGAGGTCATGGGACTCTTCTGGCAGCAGCTCGCTGGGATTGGCCACGACATGGGCCACAGCGCCATCAGCCACAACTTTCATTTGGACACCCGGGCTGCAGGAAGGCGGTGGGCTGCAGGAAGGCGGGGGGCTGCAGGAAGGCGGTGGGCTGCAGGAAGGCGGGGGGGTGCAGGAAGGCGGGGGGCTGCAGGAAGGCGGGGGGCTGCAGGAAGGCGGTGGGCTGCAGGAAGGCGGGGGGGGAAGGTTCTTTCGCGGAAAACCGTGGGACGAGACGGAGGATCTGAAGCGGGACACATTGCTTTTGAATCAATGGCTTCGGATCATGGGGTTCAAGCGATGTAACTTCTTGGCTGCTTGCCTCATGGGGATTCCGGGATTTCCAGGGCCACTCATGCAACAGGGGTGCAGGGCTTGGACATATGCACCCCTGTTTGTTTTGTCTGGTCTTGGTCTTGTCTTGTCTGTCTGTTTGTTTTGTTTTGTGTAACCATTGATCCTTTATTCCACTCAATTGTTCATCAGGGATCATCAGGGTGCAAGTGCCACGTTTTCCAGTTGCTTCGCTGAGGACCACAGTATTTGCTCTTCATTGGTCGCATTTATGGGCATCTCCGTCTGCTGGTGGAAGAGGAATCACAATACCCACCACATCGTTTGCAATTCGATTGAGCTGCTCGGCGGGGACCCGGTGGAGTGGGCGAGAGGTCCGGTGGGTGCGGAGAAGTGGGGCACTCACCCCTCGGGCGCCCTACGGCAGCAACCCGGCCACCGACACAACGGGTCCTCGAGGACAGGAGGACCAGGTCTCGAGTGGCGAGATTCGTCGTGTTTCTCTGGCGGAGATTCGTGTGATTGGCCCTCAAATGCTTGGAGAGGACCGGCAAAAAGACAGATAACCTGGTGTCCGTGGAGCCGCAATATGCCGGGCTATGGCCCAAGTGTGAGGACGGTCGGATCTTCACCGTTTTGGAGCCATTGTGGAGCTCGGAGTCCAGGTGTTCCCCCCAAAATGATCCAACGAGCCAGCTGGCTCGGGAGCCTGTACGGAGACTGGAGCAGGCAGTCATTCACATGCTTGACCGTGGACCCAGCAAGAATCTCCAGTCCGAATTCCATCACCTCCATCTAGCTTTTCGTGTTCCTCCTGCTACGCTTGGCGTTCCCTCCAAAAGGGAGAGGGCAGGAGCTCCGCCCGTCTGGTTCCCACGGTTCGCACAGAGCCGTCGCGACCCTCATCCGAGGCATGACCCAGACATTCAGCACTTGCCGGCCATCGCAGTGAGCCCAGAGATCTTCAAAAAGCCGCCGCTCGGAACCCTTTTTTCTGGGATGGAACTTGGACGAGGCTGCGGAGGGGTGGGTCGGGCTCGGGGCGTTGTTGGACGTTCCGACAGTGCCTTCCCTCCCTGCTTCGTGCATCGTTTTGGATGGGGGCGGGGGAATCTGGTGGGTTCTGGAGCCTGAAGAAGGGGTGGGGTTCCGGAGGTTCCTGTCGCGGGTGGCTGGGGGGTTGCAACGTCTGGAGCTTGCTGGGGGCTTGGGGAAGTCGAACTGAAGACGGCAAAGACTTTTTGGGAGGGCCATGGACAGCTCCTGCCGCCATTTTTGAGAGGGCCTGGGGTTTGCGAGCGTCGGTGGCTCCAGGATAGTATGCACTGGCTTGTAGGAGACAAAGGGATGAGGACCTGTCTTGGGTGCATTTTGGGTGCTATATATGACTGAGATCCGAGACACTTGGGATCCTCCAGAAGTGCAGATGAACCGCCACAACTCTGACCGGATTAGGATATGTTTTGACCGGATTTCCGTGGAGGGTACGGCCAGGGCCAAGGCCCTGTTTCGAAGACGCAGGAGACATCTGAGTCGTTCAACTGTTCCCACTGTGGATCAAGGGGGATGTTACACATGTGAGTCGTTCGATGTTCGGCCTTCGAGATTGAGGTTCTGGAGCACCTACTACAATGAGCTGAAGGCAAGGTCCAACACCTCACATGTTTGTTTTGTTCAACATGCATTTGTTTGAAGCCACGGTGTGCATTATGGCAAAAACCATCAGAGTGCATCCATTTTCGAGGTCTTGGAGCTGCTCCCTTTCACATTCATCCAGGAAGGAACCCGATACTGTAATTGAAATCACAGAACGCGCAAATTCCAACCTGTTTGGGCTAACACGTTGCGGATGGGTTTTGGTCAAATGCAAGCGCGGAGGGTCTGTTGAAATGGCAATCCTTCTAAATGTTGGTTTGAAGGTCAAACAGTCAAGTACCCTGTTTAACCTGGTTCTGTTGGAACAGTTCGGTCTTCCTGTGTCTTCACGTCCTACCCGCTCCTCCCCCCCCGGTGACTTGTCTGTGTACACCGCGTCCTCACATGCCCGTTCTCCTACGACTCGCACGACTCAGGCCATGGACTCGGTGGCCCGATTCTTGGTGAGCTTCGAGCACATCTTCTTTTATCCGAAGCTCGGGTTCAGCTCGGACAAATCCCCAGGGCTCCAACCATATCCTCAGAAGGTGGTTAGACCCCCCAAACCCACCCCAACCACCTTCTCAGGAGGTGGTTGGAGCCCTAGGGAATATCAAAAACCGCGGACCGGAGCGCGACGGAGCGGACGGCGACGGATGGGGCAACGACGACGGTTCGGTTTTCTCCGTCGCGCGTCGCGCATCACATGAGCGACGGTTCAACCGGACGGTTCCGGTTCAACGCGCAGTGGCAGTTCTTCTCAAACAGGACTTGTCTGGGGGGAGGTGGCGGGGCGGCCCCAAATTGCAAAGAAAGCGTGGTTAAGTGTGGCTCCTGTGGGTGATGAAATAGAGATGTGCGGTCTTTGGAACTTGGGCTTTGGATCTACCTGAAACGTGAAGAAGCCTGGAATGACCGACTTGGAGACCACAAATGTGACGAGTCGGGGCCATTGGTTGGGTTTCCCTACCACACCCTGGAGAACTCCTGGTTGGCTAGAGACTTTCGATGCGCGTTTCGGGACACAGAGTGGCCTCCCATGACCCATGACGTTTCGCAGTTTCACTGCGAAAGCAGGTGACCTCATGTAGAGTGCATGGATCAAGGGACAGGGATTTGTGTCGTCGAGGTTGTGGAATTCCGTGTCTGTGTGGATAGGTGTGTCTGAAAAGGAGAGGACCACAGTGACAATGCTCCTTTCTCTGGATCTCCTGGATGTCACCAGTGCTATATGATGCTATATGTCTCTGACGCGTTCGATCGGATCATGTAGCAGTCCATATAATTAGTCCATATTAGTCCATCCTCTGGAAGGGATTGGCTCATTGTTGCGCAGACCTGACAATGGACGCAGCTGACCCGTTGTTTGGGCCTGGAACCGCGTCTCCACGAGGATCATGATGGTCGCACGCTTCAACCTCTATGCTCAGTCTCTCATTCAGCTTTGCGCCAAGGACGGGTGGATTTGGGGGGGAGAAGTTGGATTTGGTTTGAGCTGCAAGAGAAGATCTGATGAAATCATGGAATTGGAATGCATTGGATGGCATGCGGCCGAAAAGGATTACTGTATATGATTTTCCAAACTGGTAGTGAACGCCACTTCCATCATTATTTCAGTACACAAGGGTAGTAGAAGAATGACCAGAAGCAGTCGGTGTTGCCGACCTCTCATGCTTGGAGATCGCAGACATGGGGGAAGGGGCTTCCGCCTTCACGCGGAGGGCGAACAAGCCATGAATTCCAGATACTTCGACCTGCAAAACCGAGGATTTCCTCACCAAGAATGGCCTTGTTACAGTCCTTGCTCCTAGTAAGGCCAGGAGCCATCGGTCATAGTCTATAAATGTATATAATATGGAGCCAGCCATCATGTAGAACGAAGTCTGACTCTTGGTCTTGGCCGATTCATTTTGACTGAAGTTGAGGAGTCGGCTTGACACCTGAGTCCCACCCCGCCAGGAGTATTTGCACTATCGTGACTTGGTGTATAGTATTGTATCAATGTAATTATCAATATTGTTGGATGTGGGTACACTCCTTGTTGGTATGGCTAGGTGCCAGCTGCTAGGATAGGTTTGCGAGGGTTTGGCCAAATGGCCTGCCTGCATTCGGCTCAGCAAACCAGCAAACGATGCGTTGTCTAAGTACTAGTTGCTGTAACATATTTTACTTGTGGGTCACCCCTCAAAGCTGCACCAAGCTTTGCACACTTTTGCTGGTACCTTTGCTCGGCCTTCTTGCTCACTGCTGCTGTGTTCTTTTCATTTTTCATTCCAATTGTCAATTGTCAAATTCAGAGTGAAGAGGGGTTGAGTAGGTTTGGGGTTCATGGGCCATGGGAGCCTTCATTGTTTGGAATAAAGACTTGTAAAGCCTGTGAATGCTTGTAGAGCTATCCATGACAGGTCATGTGGTGGCAGGAAATACTTTTGATGTATATGCACATGGACAGGCTGTTAAGTTGCGTGGGGAGGTGTTCCCAAATTAGGATTGAAGCGTGTTCTTTTGCTGTCATGAAGTGTTCTGTTACGTGATGTTCGTTTTGTTTATCTGACGTGCGTCCCACATGGGCTTGATTGGCAGACCGGGGAAGCTTGGTGTGAGGGCTGGATGCTTCAGAAGTGCCCTTTCCCAGCTTTAACACCTGTCCGTGAAGTTCCAGGAGAAAGAACCGCATACCTTCTCCGAAGATACTTGGGCCCTCTCAAAAGGCATGTGGATCCATAGGGCATGTGAGCTCTTTTTTTACTGTGTGGGGGTCTCTTGCCGGGAGAGTTCCTCAACTCCACCCGTTCTGAACTCGGATTCCTGCCTTCCCACGTCGGTTTGCGACGGAAGGCTGGAGCGGTGATCTCCGGTCTCCGGTCTTTCAGGAATCACCCCCTGTTCTTCCACCTGTCGCAGGCGTATAAAACCCATGTGTTTCCCTAGCCTTCAAAAACGAATGGTTGACCTGGTGGTGTAGTGTAATAGTATATAAAGCAATGGTTCGTTGGGTCAAACACATTAAAACCATAGTTGCTCGAATCCTAGGGGTTTGTTACTGTAAACCTGGGGGTTTCGACGGTTCAGGTAAGACGGAGTTCGCGGCCTTCGCCGTTTACTTCGCATGGATCGGTGCGCTGGTGAGCTCCCTCCCGACCTGGGGGGGAGATGCCCCTCGGCGAAGAACTCGGCGGTTTCGGCGCGGTTTGTCTTGTGGGAGTTGTGGGCCCCATTTCATTTTGCCACGGGGGGTTCTGAATATTGGTAGAATGGGCATGAACGCTGAAGTTTGTGTCCGTTGGAAGATCCGATGAGATGAGACTGCATCCATACCTATTATATACTGTAACTTTTCCTCTATGAACTGGGGGGGGACAACCCCCGATATAAAACGACATTGTGGGCATGATTGGCAGATTGACGCAATTTCCGTGGGCTTCACAACATGTGGCACCGCAGAAATTGGTCTGGTTTTGCCGAAAGGATCCAGTCTCAAGGGGGTGGTTCATAGCTCTAAAAACGTCATATGAAACACGTGAAAAAACACATTGTTTTACGAAGCATTCTTGTCTTCAAGAACCGCATCAACCAATTTCAACATGGGAATATATATATATAGGAAACCATATATATATATAATATAATATAACATTTAGGGGGCCATGGCCGGTCTACAGCAGAACATGAGGATCGCTCCCCAAGTCCGATTTCGATGACTCTCTCACACGAGTCCTTGTTCGATTCGTTCATAGACCGGAGCATAAATGGACAGAACATACCAGCGAGGCCGGGCATGGGCCGTGAAGATGCTGCTCTCGGATGCACTCAACCTTCACCTGTCCAACGGGGGTGTTTTGTTTTGGATATGGTTGTCGATCTAAAGGTCCTAGACAGCATTCTGTATGACGATGACCCGGAACATATCAAAATCTCATTTGGCGAAAGTTTTTTCTCGAGTTGGCGAAAGTATTTTTTTTGGGCAAGAGATCTGGCGAAAGATGAAATATATACTTTTGTATGAATGTTCATTTGCTTCCTGAACAGCTAGTGGCAGTGACTCAGAAGTTAGATGAGCTGTGGAAGTTAGATAACCTGCTGCTGCTGCTGCTGTGGCTACTACTACTACTACTACTACCACTACCACTTCCACTACCACTACTACTACTACTACCACTACTACTACGACTACTACTACTACTACTACTACTCCTGCTACTACTACTACTACTACTACTACTATTCCTGCTCCTGCTTTGGGGGGGTGGCTTTGCCAAAAAGCTCTACCCCGCAAAAGGCGAAAGTTTGGGGAAAGTTCAGCTCAAGATTGGCGAAAGTTCACCCTGCCACATCTGACCCCCAGCCCATTATGAGTAAGTTTGAGTGACCGGCTGCCACAGTGATTCTTGCAATTTTGATTTTTGCTGGCACCCAGGAGGAACAAAAGAGACGTACAGGGTGTCAACAGTTCGGTAGAAGACACATGCTGACAAACAGTGAAGTTTCTATTTTTTGTTTGCCAGTAAAGAAGAAGCCATTGACGTGAACAAAACACAACATACATGGCACACATAAATACAACGTACTTCGGCGAAAGATAAAGCGCAGCAAGGCGAAAGTTTGGCTAAAGAAAATCTATTTTTGCCGAAAATGACGGATCCCGGATAAAGGAGTTTAGATCAACTCCCATATGTGTTTTTGGTACGTCACTCACGTGGAAAACACCCCATCCTATGGGTTTCAGAACTTCCAAACCCACGAAATCCGGTGGAAAAACCACGCCGCCCAGATTTGGCTGGCTACTGGTGAGCCATGCGGTGTCCGGTCTGCTGCACGTCACCCGACACGGAATGGAAGTTTCAATGGGGATGGTTTGGTGACCGGGTGGGGGTGCCTAAGGGTGGGAGGACTTGGTGCACTTGGTGCACGTGTTCTGTTTTCATCACGGGGAAGTTTTTGGGAGGTGTGTCCGTTGATTTGGTCGTCCGTAGGTGAAGAAAGAGGCCTGGGACCTCCTTGAGGAGTAGATCTGTAGATCTTCACTCTCCAGGGTGTTGAAGACTTGTGCCCGTGGGGACAGGTGGGGAAGTTTTCAGGAGATGGGCGAAGAAAACAACAAGACAGGCATACAAGGAACGGAAGACACGTGAAGACAAGACTTACCCTGAGAAACCAAGTTTGACTCATTTTAACCCCTATGGCAGTGGTGGATTTTGACTCCCAGGTGGAGTACTGGGCAAAAACCGGGGACCGGATCGGTTTCCCTGCGTCACCGATCGGGGTCACGGCGTCCGATCGGCCGGAGGTGCAAATTTGCTGCTCCCATTTTTCGATGGAAAAGTACCATGGCCATGCTGCCTGACCGCACGGACGTCCGTTCGTTGCGTTTCTTTCGGACGTCCCACTTCATCACACTTGTTTTCAGCGATCTGGGCTCAAGTCGGATGCGATCTGGGCTGCGCTGGGAGAATTATGGATTGGATTCTTGAAACTCTTTGGATGACCTGGAATCCACCACCAGGAATGACCTAGACATTTCCATGCATGTGTCATGATCAACCACTTCCATGGCCACAACATGGAAGCATTTGCTTCAGGACTGGATTTCCGAGGAGGTTTTTGTTAATCTTTGGAGGGCTGGGTCTGCCAGAGGGACAGAGACTGGCCTCTCGTACCTTTGGCCAGCCCGTGGAATCTCTGGGGTAATTGGCTTTGGGTTTCAGCCTAGGTCTTCAGGGGGGTGTTCTTTGCAACGTGATTTCAGAATTTTCAGAGTAGAGGGCACAACGTCATGAGGGGAGAATCCATCCGGAGAATGGGTTCCATGGGTTCCATTCTGCTCAGTACTTTTGGGCCATGCCCAGCCGAACGAGCCACTTCTGCCACTTCGCATCAGGCCTACAACGATGCAACGGATGAGTGGTACATCACACAGTTGAAGACCACGATGAACTTCGACACGCCCCCAGTGCTTGGAGCCCCAAGTCGAGCCTAAGGGGTCTGTGAAAAGAGATCTCCTGGTGGGTGGAAGGCTTTTTTATGCAAAGGCAGCGACCTCTGTGACATCGGTGGATGTTCAAGACAGTCTAAGACCAGACCGAACTTTGATTGGCAAGGACGATCCCAAATGGTGCTGTGGACACACATTCCAACATGGTGTGCCCCCCCCACTGTCTCCTAACTGTCTCCTCATCCAGGGTTTGGTCTTTGTAAGGGTCTTTCAAACACGACAGTGGCCCAATGGGTGGCTTTCGGGTGGCTAGTTCCCCGCACTGGGTACTATCTACTCGAACTGACCAGGTGAATGCACCAACCAAACAACAGACAACACCCAGAATTCCCTTCCTTCCGCTCCGCCGCTCCGCCGCTCAGGCTGGATTGGGTTCATATCGGCCTTCAGTTTCAGATTGAGCACCACCTTTTTCCACGACTTCCTCGACACAACCTCCGTCTCCCGACACAAGATGGATGGCAGAAGGAAAGCTGGGATGGTGGTGATGGATGGTGATGGATGGTGTGCGAGCCAGAAGGTGGGTCGGATGTTTTGGGGGTGCCAGAAAATCTTCTCATACTTATCCTACCCCAGTTCCTAGCATCGCTTCAGTCTTGTGGTTACCTGGTTTTCGCAGAGGGGCCATGGTGAAATGGTGCAAGACTAATCGTCTGTGAGAGTGTACGACGGGTTGAGTGAAGATGGTGCAACCCCTATGTGCTAAGTATTGCAAACTACGGTTCAAAAGCCGAACCCAGCAGCTCTCAGCCCTTTTCCCACCTCTCAGCCCTTTGCTCTATTTTCCGGCTGTCTGTGTTCTGTTTGGATTCCGATTTTTGGCCAGCAATGCTCAGGCGAAGCAAGAAGCTTGGTGAAGGAGGTGTGTCGAAAGCACAACATCCGCTACCACGAGCCGGGCTTCTTTCAGGCAACATCCGAGTCGACTGCGGTGGAGTGCTTTTTGCAGGACAGACCTGCCAATGAACAATTTTAGGTCTCATAGGACCCGGTGGAACTTGGCAGGAAGGCCATTGACGCTGTGGGTCAAAGCTAGGAGACCTTGACCTATCCCGGACAGCCACGGTGCTCGAGCAAATACAAGTGGGGTTATGTTTAACCTTGCAAACAGACAGGTTCTCTTTGCCAGTCACTGGTAACACGGGAAGGTTGAGAGAACCCATTGGCAGGGACCTGATGGGGCCTGCTGATGGGGCCACAATCCAGGCCAGAAGAACCCTAGAATCAAGTCCAGCTCAGACAGAGGCTTGTATCTACGACCTTCAACACATCCCGATGGGATTTTGGGGCTGGAACATCTTAGGACTGGTCTCCAACCCGAATCCGGAAAAAGATCTGGATCTTTGCAGATCGGGTCACATCTTCTGGCGGTTTCTGGAACCCAGCCGCCGTCTCCGAACCAAACACCCAAAGATCATTGAACAAGAAAACTGGTTGGACCTCAGTAAAACGAGGGTCAAATCCTCCGTAAAACCCGGGTTGTTCGGGATTCGAACCAGTCAACTCATGGTGGTTGGAATCGGATTGCCTTTCCGGGACGGACAAAAAATAGGCGGGACCTGGTCGCCAGCAAGCGGTTTGGACGCTTGGACCCTGGAGCGGTTTGGTCTGATTGCATGGGAAATACTCTCATTATTTACATAATACTGTATTATATAGATTGATTCTATACTGGTCATGCAGTCGTGACCTCGATTTTGGACCACCACCCCCACAAAATACGGCCCCTTCCTGTCAAAACAGGGGTCACATGGGTTGTGTAGGTAGACACAGAGCAATGTCGACCACCTCAGGACCATCTTCCTCTACAAACGGGCCATATCCCATATCCCATTGCGACTCAGGGCGCTAGTGCAGCACCTCTGTAGCACCGTAGTCTGTAGCCCGGTCTGCCCCCAAGTCCCCATCTCACGGCAAACTTTGCCTGGTGAACGCACGGTCGACGGAAGGCCAATATCGAGACCCTGCAGTGCCTTTGGCATACCGCGAAGGCCAGGCCGCGGGTTCCGCTTCGAGCGCGGACCGCCAGAGCGGAGGATGGGAGATGCTGGTTTCTTGGGACGGGTCATAGAGTGAACCGGTTCGGTTTGGGATGGAAAAAGATTCAAAAGAAGACCAACCTAACACACACACACAGTTTGGCTGGGGGTTTTATATAATGCGCCCAGCCAAGTGGCTTGTGATGCGAACGGCTGATGTGCCCAAGCCCAGCCACCACTTGTGAGGCTGGTGTTCTACTCATGGCGGCGTCGCATCCGCCATGACACTGTTGGGAGTCGAAAAGGAACATGGATTCCACGGGAGGATCATATAGACCGCAGACGAGGGGCAACGACGGGGAATGAAAAAGGAAGGAGTCTCTTTGGACAAATGGCCGACAAATGCGTCACCAGTACTCTCCTTTCTTTACATGAAGTCGACATACTCCTGGAGCATTGCCATGGAGCCTTGCCGGATAAAGACAGGGTACGCCCTTTTTTTGCCACATGAAACTCCGGACAAGGACGCCCACGGGTACGCCACCATGGACTGTCCGAACTGCGGACACACCCAAGCTGAACCACCATACTTCAAGTTGAAATCATCGAAACGAAGCCATGGAGTGAGTTCAGCACCAAACTTTGGGTCTTTGGAGTCCATGGTCATCCGAACTGACACCATGACATCCATGTTGGCCCCATGATTTCAGGGAGTGTGGGCAAAGGATCCCCTTTCGGGCTTCGTGGGCTGCCGACCGTGCTCGCAAAGCGCTGCCGGTGTTGCTGGCAGGCCGCACGGCTGACCAAGAAGGGCGACAGTGGATTTTACGAGAGTATCCTCTGGGACGGATTGACGCTCAATGGCTAATGGGCCAGACCAGGACCTCGTGAAATCGAAATCAAAAGTCACCTGATGGACTGGGCCGCTTCGCTTTTGGTCAACCTCCCTAGAATCGGCAGTGTGGTGATTCTTGAGGATTGATATGGATTGATGAGGGTTCATGGCAGTGTGGCAATGGAGTGGGTAGAAGGAGGATGTTCTTTTGGTCGGACCACGGCTGATGCTCAAGGCTCAGGCTCGGCTCGTGCTGGTGTGCTACAACCTTCTGGGGTGACTCTGCTACCGCATTCCACGATCGGCTTTTGGCGGTTGAACCGATCAAAACCCGCTACTTCTGTTGGGAACACTGCATTCATGTATATAGTGTGGTTGAAACTGGTCCATGTCGAAGAACGAGCCCGCCCCGTTTGGAATGTCTATAGAGCATAGACCACAACCCACTGGTGCAGGGGTTCCCTATGTCCATGGACGTGTGGGTGGCCCCATGAGAAACATAGAGAGGTCGCAATATGTTCACATTGAATGCTATTTGATTCTCATTTGCTCATCCAGAATATGCGGTCACAACGGTCACAACCCCAACATGCAAGAACCTCTGGCTGGCCGTGTCCCGCACTTTTTTCAGCTCAGCTGGAATGAGACGACTCATCGTGACCCGTACAGACAGCTCGCACAGACGAGACAAACAGCTCGCCACCCTCCACCGTCCACGACCCGTCAAGACCGTTGGCCCGGTCAAGACCGTCGGCCGTTTCACGAGCTGAGCCGTGAGTTCAGGCTGCAGAGTGTGTTTTGGGGTGGAAAGGGTTGGGTTACCCCAATGATGTGCCCATAGAAGTCCTGGATGACCCCATAGGATCCATAGATCATAGGCCTAACATGGCACACTCGATTTGAGAGGAAAGTCGATTGGATCCAATTGGCCTATGTGTGAGGTAAATCTTGGTGTTCTTGATTCCACGTTTCGATCTGAAGTTCCCACTTGACCCTTTAAATAGATCGCCCGGGCGCCGGGGCTTCACGGCGGTGCTGTACGTTCAGCGTCGGCCGCTTGGAGGCGGGGCATTGGGGGGAAGCTCTGAGGTTTCATCTGCCAGTTTCTCAGCCACCACAGGTGGTCCCTTAACAGGCTCAGAGGTTTTCTCAGCCTGAGCAGACCTTATTCTTGACCTGGTCAAGCCGCACCTGGTCAAGCCGGATCCGGGACGATTTAGGCATTATATATACCAGGACCTTCCAACAGGCCAACGGGTCACCACCTGCGACTTTTAAGTCTCCAAAAGCCACCAGAGGAGACCTGTTGGAGGGTGCTGGTGCATGATAGTTAAATATGTTTCATTTTTTGATGTTTTTTTGGAACCGTGATCGTCTAACTCTTGGAAGCTCTGTTCTTTTCTGGGATGTGGAGAGCCTGGCTTTGCACCCCGTTGGCAGCACAGGTTCTTCAAGCAGAGGCGTAGCCAGTGAGAAGATCTGGCTCTGAGTCAAAACCTCCCCCATCAAATCCCTTGTAGACCTGATATAGAGGAGTCTGTTCATTTTCAGGAACCAGGGTACCCACAGCCATCTTGGGAAAGCACACATCCCGTGACTTGATGACTCAGCGAATTTCTCACCTGCAGGTTGCTCCTGATGTATGCCCTTGCCTTGGTGATGGAGACCGACTTGCTTCTTACCGCACGGTCAGACATGGCCAGTCACTCCAATCCAAGTGTGGCGCATGGCCAGGATCGCGACAGGAGCAGACAGCAGACGTGTGAAAGGGCGGTGCTGATAAATCAGATGGCAGTCAGCAATGCTTTTTGGGCATGTTTGGCTCAAGCTTCTTTGCTTATAATCAGTCAAGGACAACATGTCACAGATTATTTGCGCCATGCAGCCACGATGTCCGGAAGAAAGAGCAGGAAGACTACGTAATATCCTGTTTGCGAAGGGTACCACGGAGTTCTTAGTTTCGCGTCACCTGCATGCATGACAATCAATTGCCATCCATTTCAGGGTGATTCCTAGATCCAGCCCCTGAAGTTCTTGATGCAACAAGTTCTGATGCAAAGTGATGACTAGGGTCCTTCCAAGACTGGGACACCTCTTAAGAACACTCTCAAGTCCTCACGCCCTCTGCAGCTTCCTCAGCATGGTTTGATGCTGAAAGCGCTGGACCTCAGGGGCCTCCTCAGCCTCGGGGTCTTCAGCCTCCTCGCGCCGCGGTCTGCCGCCGCGCGGTCGTCCGCGCGGCCTGTGGCGCTGCCAGCGGCGCTCCCCGCGCTGGAGCCACTGCAGTGCCCCCATGGACCATGGAACGCACCAGGAGCCAAAGGCTGTCGCGGTCGCGTCGTGGGTCCCAACGGGTCTCGAGCGATGAAATGGCGGGTCCCAACGGGTCCCAACGGGCGGTTCTTCCACCGGTTTGTGCGGGTCTCCCGGTGCTTGGTAGATGGAGGTTCATGTCGCCTAGAAAAGGGAAGAGGCCGTCCTCGCCCTGGGCACGCAAGTGCTTCTCAAAAGAACATGTCCTTCTTTGCGAGTTCGACTGTGTTGGGACTTAGAAGATGTTCAACAGCAATCCCTTCCCCTCAATCTACGACATCCTCAAAGGTCTAGTTTATCCTCACAGAAGATCTGGTTTAGCACAGCTTGGCGAGAATGGTCCTGTTGCAGTCCCCCCAAGATTTTCACCGCAAATGGTGGCTTTTGAGGGCAAAAGTGAGGCCCCTCGCCATACAAACCTGCTGCTGGTTTCAACCCAGTGGAAAAGATCATATGAGTCATTCATCAAGCCAGAGCCATATGAAATCCTTCAAGAACTGTACACATGAACACATCCCTAGGAACACAGGGCATCGCTACCAGGAGCAAGAAGCTACTAGTAGCTTGCCGAGAGCTTTCCAGGTCAAGGTGGCGACGTCGCCGCACTGTGCCGTTCCTGGTCCCCCGGAGTAGGCCACCAGGCATACGGGGAACTCCTGGCGTTTCAGGTGACCCATGTGTTGACACCGGAGCACATCTTCCAGTAACCTCAGAGTACACCCAAAAACACCGAGAGATGGACATGCTCCGCACCTGTGGGATGCTCCGTTTTCCGTCCAGGCGATGGGGAAGCTCCGCCCTGGCCGGGCGCCGAGCTCTTTTGGCGGCAGATTCTGGCGTCGGTGATGCAAGGCGAAGCGGGACCGCTTAGCTTCCGGAGGGATCGATCAGATGGAAGTGACGGATCGACAGGTGGGGCTGGAACCATGAGATTGTATCAGATTTGCATAGATTTGCATCGAATAACTGTATAAGCTTGTATCAGATTGGTATTTACAAAGCTTGTAATTAAAGATGGTAGACTTGCACAAAGAACAGATGTGTATTTACTTATCAGATGGTATTTACAAGACTTGCACATCTGTTTGTAATTGTTAAGTTGTAGACGAATGAGGCTCGGCTAACCTTGGCAGGGTCGGATCGGGTGGCCACAACCGCCTTGTCTCGTCCGGCATCAGCCGGGACGTCCACGCCAGGTATGGACTTGACACGCATGGGAGATGCACCAGCAACCTGGAATCAGCTGGATGACTGGGTGGCACGTGGGGTTTTCAGCGTTTTGTTGAGGGTATAGGTATAGTGCCAACAGTCGAAATGCAGCATTTGGACGGTCATGCATGCCTCCGGTTTTCTCTGGTTGGCAAACCAAACATGGAAGGCCGCCTTCGCTCCTTTCGCAGCTTCTGCCAGCACTGGTTCCGACTCGACACAGGTCGACCGTGGCGCCCGAGGCAGCGCGGCACTTGCTGGCAGAGGCTCTGCTGGCGGCCACCGGGTCCTTAGCGCCGGAGCCCCGCCTGGGCTTCACCTGCTCTCTAGGCGGCCGAAGGGAGCGGGGAGCGGTGGGGAGCAGTGGGCGGTTTGGGCGGTTTGGGGAGGAGGGGTGACTGCTTAGTTTTTGGATGGGGGGGGCATTCTGGAGCGGGAAGGTTGATGTGATCCTTGTGATGAAAGGGGAGCGGTTGCATTCTTGGCGCATGCGATGAATGTATGTTTACAGGCGTTTGGGGCTGGGTTTTAATTCCCCCCCTGCAGTTTTTTTGCTTTCCCTCGCACTGCTTCTGACCACAGCACGGCGGAACACTAGTTGCTGTTTATTCTATTTCTGACCACAGCGTGGCGGAACCCAACAGGCACATTCCGGTCTTTCTTTTCTACTTACTTCTTGCGCGCCCCTTCTGCCCTGCAGGGTTTCTTTTCCAGCCTGCCTGGGGGTTCCTTTCTGCCATCCACGGGCGTCCTTTCCATACCGCTAAGGGTCCTTATTCAGTCGTCCGAGTTCTTTTTTTCCCACTCTGAAGGGCTTTCTTTTCCTCCCTGCTCGGGTTTCTCTTCTGCCCTGCAGGGGTTTCTTTTCTGCCTGGCTTTCTACCGTGCAAGGGTTTCCTTTCCACCCCATGAAGGTTCTTATTCAACCCAGCTGCCGGCGTTTCTTTTCAGCCTGCGGGGTTTCTTCTCTGCCCACGGGCTTCCTTGCCCCCGCAGAAGCGGCCGATGCGCAACATGTTGTGCAATTGCGGAAGGACGGCGCGGGGCTAGACTAGGTGCCATGCGCAAGGATGCTTAAAGCAAGCAACGTGAAACAGCCGCGTGGCGACAGTGCGGTGCGGTGGCGCAGTATAGATCTTTGAGGCTTTGCATGTGCGGATGTTTTTTCCAGTTGACAATTGAAACCATACCCACATGCGTCTGCAAGATTGTTGGCCAAAAAAAGCATCTGGAGCCAGCGTGCGTGGTGAATGTTGCCACTTAAAGGCTATATCCTGTGAGATTTTGTAGTTTCGCCAGAACCACACAATGTCTTGGCAAACAAAGGCAGTTTGGAAATAGGAACGCAAAAAGGGTGCGCAAACTTGAACGGTGAGTTTTCAGTGAGGTCTTATATGGTGGAACTGGTTTCTGGGAAACCATCCTGTAACCTTGGGGGGGCTTAAGAATGTGCAAACATGATGCGTGTCCCTCTGTGATTTCATTCTGTCTCTGACCGGGGCCCCTGTACAGTAGTTGCAGGTATCAAGATCAACTACGTCAATTCTAAGTTCATGATTTGGTCATCGGAGTGAACCCGAACGACCCAAAAAACTGTTGTCCCGTCGTTCAACGAGCGAACCACCACCATTTCCGGTTCCGCACGGTGACCCTTGCGAGACCCAGTCAGAAGACCGGAGCTCCGGTGCGCTCCCAAGCTCCTGCGGGTCCCGCGGGGAGCTGAGCTCGCGGAGGCGTGGCGGCGCTCTACCGAGTCTTAGCCCTCATCAGCCTCAAGGCCGTCTTGCGCCACGTGGGGGCGGAGGAGGGAGGTGATGTGTTGAAAGGATTTGAAAGGGGGATTTGCAGACTGCAAAAAAGAGGGTTTCAAATTGAGGCTGGAGGCCAAAGAAAGTTTGCATTCAATGGGATAAAGGGCACGGTCCATCTGCATCTTGTGGAGACGGTCTCACCCACAATCCACAGAGCACACCATCGAACACAGCGGCCAAAGGCAAACATTTGCCAGAATATGGTTATGAACATTTTCTCTTGGTTCTCAAACAGAATATGAGGGTGTTTCACGGGTACGTGGCATGAAACACAGCTCGCTGGCTGCGCAGCCGACCTTCCAAGAAGGAAACGATGAAGATCGGGTGTTGGTCTTTCCAACGATTCGATGGCTGTAGGAGGAAAACCATCGCCCAAGATTCAGAGCCATTTGTGCAATGAACATGGTGGATTTACAGGAACGGCCCCCAATCAAGAAGTATCTATATTCTGGTAGGCTTCCCCTTCGCTTTCCGTTGGGGGCTCGGCTTTACCTGGGGAGAGTGCTCTTGTCGCAACTTCTGAGGAACACACTGCCTCAGTAGGCCTCATTTACATATCACCCACATGTGGACGTCTCTTAAAGATAATCCGGCCTTTCCTTGCCCTCAGTCAGGATAATGGACCGAGACTGCAGGGATCAACATAGGCCATGAACCCTTTGTAAAGAGGCTTGAGCTTTGAGAAACCCAACAAAGAATTCAAAACCGAACCAGCTAATCTAAATGATGCTGAGAGACCTGAGCGAGCTCTAAAATCCTCAGATGGGTCATGACTCATTTGATGTATTCCCAGGCCGACCCTCCTGACTCCGTCGGTGGGGGGCACCGCCTGGCACTGCGATACCAACACCTGGCCACGGTTTGGGCGGCTCGGCTGGCGGAGTGCCTTGGGTCGTTGCGACTGGATTCGTGGACGTTCTAGTTCTAGTGTTGCTGACTTAGTCACTTGGAGTTGCTCAAGAAGCACATGTTTGATGTTGAACACCCCGCATCTGGAGTTTGATCAAGGTGCGTTCGTGGAGGGTTGGGTGGGTCTCCAATCTGCCATGCTTTTTGAGACGTGGGCTACCTGATGATGAGGTCTGACGTTACCGGGTTCCCCCGGTGGTTGACGTGTTGATTGATTCATTTTGAAATATGGTTCCATGGATGCGACGCATACCGCATATAAATGACATTCATAAGCTGCAGGATCAGAGATGATTCTCAGGCAACCCTAGCTTGAACTTCATAAGAGGTTCTTACATCTCTTACTGTTATGATTGAGCCCGATCGGAGGCGCTTCAACACGATTTGGAGAACACCCCCTTTCAGGTGACCCACGTTTGGGAGAAGTACGCGCGCCGGGAGGACTGACCCGACGTGGGGGAGGGGGACCAACTGCTGATGCTGGTGGCGGGCGCCTGAAACGGCGCAGTATAACGGTGCAGGTGGCGCCTGAAACGGATTGCTGACATGAGCACACCCAGCATATATTGTTCTGTTTTCACGTTCATTCATATACATGTTGTTTTTCTATGTTTTTCTTGTTTTTTTTGGGGGGGGAGGAGATACCCCTCTCCGCAACTCGGTCCGCAACTCTGCCGCCAGGATGGTGGCGGGCCTGGGGAGGGCTGGGCCTGGTACGACCGCTCCTACATCGATAGCTCGGCTTGGCCCATTGGCTTACAGGAGAGATGACGGGAGAGATGGCCACTGCGAAGCGAAGACCCAAGAACACAAAGGATGGAAGATGAAGATCAAATGAAGATCAGCAGACATGTGTTCTTTAGAGGCATAGGCTGAGGTCCTTGATACCGTGATTTTTGGGCTTACTAGCTTCCTGGGGCGGGTAGATGAGCTCGACCTTGTGCAATAAGTGTCGAGCCGTTCCGCCGAGTGCCGGCGATTCGTGGTGTTTGGCGTGCAGTGCGGTTGAGTCGGTTGGCTTGGAGCTGAGGAATAGGTGGGGCAGTGTTGAGCTCCGCAGGCTGGCCGCTGATACTCTCATCGAGCAGGCCAAGCTGGTAAAGACTCTGAGGATCCTGTCGTTGAGGCTGAGGTTTGAAGGAGAGTCGAAGGCAGGTTCATTGGAGTCGCCGAGGAAGAGCAGCTTGGGAGCTACTCCTAAGTCGAGCACGCCAAAACCACCACCTCCAAAAGCACCACCTGTTCAGCGTGTTGTTGCAGCCAAGGAGGAGGAGTACGAAGGAGTTGAGCTTGAGGAGGAAGGAGAAAGTGAATACAGCTACGAGTATTCTGAGGAGGAGTGTGGAGGTGACGCGTGGCACGAGGCAGTTGATCGATCTCATAAGGAGAGGAAACTCGAGCCGCCTCGCCGGGGCGCTGAGTCAACAGAGGCTTCAGGAAGCAAGAAGAGGAAGGAGTACACTGAGGAGGTGCGTGAGTTGCCCGTTGTTGGTAAGAAGGAGAAGAAGGAGAAACAGGAGAAGCAGGCGAAAAGAGAGCACAAAGGTTCACGTCGCAGAGGTCGCAGAGGAGGATCCAAGCATCAGCAAGTTCGAAAGCGTGGCCACGATCCATCGCGAGTTCACAGGCGAAGGAGCGTGAAGAAGCTAGTGGAATTGAAAGCCCAGGACAAACCCTTGTCCCCCAGAGAGAAAGAATGTCGACGCTGAAAGCGGTTTTCCCCGAGTGGAAGGAGGGTGACTTGTTCACCCTTAGTGATACAGCGGAATGGCATATGGTGACACCAGTTCGAGGAGACATTGCCCTTGTTTCCCTTCCAACCACCGATATGGACAATGCCCCGGACAGCGATGCGGCATTTCTCATCATGGAGAGGAGTGTGACAGGAGATGGAGGAATGACATTGGCGGCCAAGTGCATTGGTGCAGAGGACGCAGGTGTTGGAAAGACGTTGTCGAGTTGGTTCAATCGGCGAGGAGGAGGTCTTCATTTGTGCAGCTCGTCTCCGTGCACTCACTTCGACCCAGCATTGTTACATTGCGTACAGGTTCGGTTCTTCACCAAGGAGCATTTCGAGGCAAGTTTCTACGGGGCTGCTCAGCGAAGGCAGGTGAAGAAATGGTTAGGAGATGGAGAACCATCAGAGCCCGAGGAGGCTGGGCTCGAGGAGGAAGATCCTGCTGGGAAGGCATCAAAAGTGCCCGGAAAAGTGACCGACAGAGAGAAAGGCAAAGGAGTGAGTGCAGCTGCAGCATCAGGTCTACGCCCCGGGGTTCTACGAAAAAGGCCTGCTTCAGGTCCCAGGATTGCAGAAGCTCCCAAACGAGCAAGCCGGCCGGCCTCCAAGAGTCGTGCAGCACCCCAAGATCCAGTTCCAGAAAATCGAGTTGGAGGCACGGCAGGAGGTTTGGATCAAGACTTGAGGATCGAAGAAGGTCAACCTTTGAGCGAATCAGGAACGGCCGAGCTGAAGAAGAAGTTGGAGGAGTTGAGACTTCGTTTAGGAGGTGCGCACAAACCCAAGAAGGTGCGCTTCGAAGGAGTCGGAGAGGCCAGCGTGAACGAGGAAGTCGAGCAGGAGGACTCTTCAGGTTTAGACTTTGTTCAGGACGTGAAGGGCTTGAGCACCGGACTCACACTGAAGAGACCTCATCGCCAGTCCGAGGCTACAAAAGGTACTTCTTCGAAGAGCATCTCGTCTCAACTGGCGCTTCAAGCTCAGCAAATGGCCCAAGGAGATCCAGAAGGCAAGAAGGTTTCGAGGAGCTCAGAACCGAGCAAAGCCAACGAGAACAAGGAGGTGTTGGCGCTCCTAAACCGTGTGCTGGGGAGGAGATCCAGCGCTGGGAGGAGCGGAGAAGGAGGAGACCCCCCAGAGAGGGAGAGCAAGAGGAGTCGAAGTGCGTCCAAGAAGAAAAGCAAAAGAAAGAAAGACAGAGGACGCAAGAAGAAAAGAAAGCTAGTCAACGGGGTGTTGATGTCAGCTTCAAGCTCGGAGGATTCAAGCGACGATTCAACAGACTCCGACTCCAACGAATTCGAAGCGCCGCTTCGAAAGAGATCCAAAGCCAGCCCTGGCAGCGTACTTCGATTGCTCGTAAAACGAGCGCAAACCGCATTGGACCAGTCGGCCCTAGTCGAGATGGACCCGACAAGCAGCAGTGCGATTACCACAGGAGTGAAGCTCGTGACCTACTACCAGCTCCACATCCGCCCTCACTATGGCCATGCTCGAGGCCAAATGAGAGACATCTACCTGATGGCACAGACCCTCGATTTGCTGCGATCGGGACAGATAGCCCGGGCCTGCGACCACCTGGCTGGCCACCTGATGGCGACGCATCAGTCGCTTGTGGATCAAGGCTGGGGGCAGGCGAAATATTTAGAGGTGATCGAAGGCGAGGAGATGGGAGCAACAACAGCATCGATTTTGTTGGAGACAAGACGCCATGCCAAAGCAAGTATGAAAGCAGAGGCTCCCGAGGCATGGGTCCCAGGACGAAATCGAGGCTGGTTCGGAGGAGACAACAGAGGCAAGGGATGGTGGCCGCCATCAGACAAAGGAAAAGGAAAAGGCAAGAAGGGCAAATGGAAGGACAAAGACAGGTCGGAAAAAGGAAAAGAAGGAAAGGGCAAGAATGCATGGAAGGAAAGCCAGGACAAAGGAGAGCAGGCGTCGAAGTGAGAGGAGAAGAGGTTGGGCAGCCTTTAAATCCTTTCAGTTTGCTGGAAGGTTTGGCGCCAGATTTGAAGACAGAGGCAGTGAGGAGTACAGTTGAGGAGGTTGAGTTTGGGCACACCGCAACAGGTGACACCCATGGCATTGCAGGACATTTGAAAGAATTTGTTTCCGGCCATGAGTTGCTGCAAGTCATAGGTTCCCGGATTACAGGCATCAAAAGCGCCGGGTGCTTGTTGGCTTGGGTTGTTGCACAGGCTGGAGGAGACGCTCCGGGGCCAGCATTGGCATGGACCCGTCGAGTGCTTTTTGAGTTGAAGGAGACCGCAACTTGTCACGAGAGGCCTGCGAGGGCTGTCTCGTTTCCCGTGAGAGAAGGAGAGCTTGCGTGCTTGAGGCAGCTTCTGGTCACACGAGACCTGCAGCATGTTGAGAGCAGTCAGTTTGTTGAGCAGCATGGAGAAGCTTGTTGGTTGTTCCTTTCCTTGCATGCCCTTAATAGCCTGGCTGGCTTTGCGAGGCCGCTGGCTCGGGGCGCTTGGAGTGCATTGGAGCGCCGAGGAGTTGAGAACGTAAAGATGGCGATCAGACGATTGCTAGACTCTCCGCACGGACCGGTCGACCCCTTTGAAAAAGTTTGCGAGGGCGTCAAGAGCGCTCGGGTTGGATATGATGGGGAGGAGCTTGGGACGTGTGAACAGTTGACTTTAGCTCAAATCCTACCTGCTCTTCCCCCTCATGGACATGGTGGGTCTATTCCTCTAGGTGCGGTTTTGTCGGAGGCTACGTTTAGGTTGCTAGAGCGACCCCAAGATTTACTTCGAGATGATTTTGCACGGCCAATTCCCCCAATTCCAGGCAAAGCACATTTTGGAAGAGGTGAGCAGAAACAGGTCTGCGCAGAACTGGTCGAGAGAGGTATTTGCACGTGGGTCAAAGCCGATGAAGTGTTGGTCTACAAGGGGGTGAAGATCCTCAACGGAATTTTTGGGGTTCGTAAGCCCACTTCCTTGGACGACGGCCGGCCGGTGTTGAGGGTCATTATGAACTTGCGTGCTAGTAACTCCATTCTTAGACAACTCAAAGGAGCGGTGAACTCCTTACCTGCTATCACATGTTTTCAGAGCACCACGCTTGAAGGTCGGGAAGGGCTGCATATGTATCAAAGCGATATGTGTTCTGCCTTCTACCTATTCCGGTTGCCTGTGGTTTGGCATAAGTACCTTTGTTTCAACGTGTGCGTCACTGGTGAAGAGATTGGAAGAGAGAAAGGTCACCACTTCTATCTAAGTTGCTCTGTCCTACCTATGGGTTGGCATTGTAGTGTAGGTTTGATGCAAGAGATCAGTGAGCGTGTGTTGTGGAATGCGGGACTTCCAACAGAACAGCAACTACGACGAGGCTATGCAGTGCCCGCAATACTCACTCATTGTGCGAAAGAAGCCTTGGGCACAGATCGTGGCTTCTGGCAAGTCTATTTGGACAATTTTATGGGGGGAGAAAAACGTCCAGCAGATGCAGATTCAAAAGTGGGCGATGATTTGCACAAGAAAGCAGAAGACGCCTGGGCTGAGATCGGAATTGTTTCTTCAGAGAAGAAAAGGGTTGAGAATGCCATGGCCGTTGAAGAATTAGGAGCGTTAGTGGAAGGACGGTTAGGTTTCCTTGGTGGCTCCCCCAAACGTTTTTGTAAACTTGTGCAAGCTACCCTCGGAATCCTTTGTCAGCCCACTTTGAGCAGGAAGCAGGCACAAATAGTGGCAGGTCGTTGGGTGCATGTCCTGCAGTTCAGACGGCCAGGCATGGGATTCTTGGACCATGTGTGGAAGTTTATCAACAGCTCATCAGATCCAGCTGGTCTGGCACTTAAAACCAAAAGAGAATTCTTCATGGTGATGAGTGCCATCCCTCTTCTGCATACTTCCATGGCTGCCGATGTGAACGACATGTTTTGGTGTAGTGATGCTTCAGAAAAGGGAGGAGCTGTTGCTTTTGCCAATGAATTATCATCGGTAGGAAAGGATTTCCTCATGTCGGCAAGGTTAAGTTCACGTTGTTTGGGAACTGCCCCGATCTTGGTGGTGGCCTTGTTTTCAGGGATCGGGGGAACCTTCAGGATTTATGACCTTCTTGACATCATTCCCCAAGGCGCCATTGCCGTTGATATCCACAAGCCTGCCAATCGTATTGTCAGTAGGAGGTGGCCAGGTGTTCGGATCCTTCGAGATGTTAGGGACATTTCACAGAAAGAGGTTGAAGACTGGGCACTTGATTTCTGCTCAGTTAAAGAGGTTCATTTGTGGGGCGGTTTTCCGCGTAGAGATCTCAGCTCAGCGCGTGCCTTCAGACAGAACCTGGATGGAGACAGCAGTGGTTTGTTCTTTGAGTTCCTACGAATTTGGGAACTTCTGGAAGGTGCATTCCCGGAGACCGTTCAGATTAAAATTGCAGCGGAGAACGTAGCATCCATGGATGAGTCGGCTTGTGCAGAGATCTCTCAGTGGACAGCAGTACAGCCATACTGGTTGGATTCATTGGACGCTGTACCCATGAGACGTCCAAGACTGTGTTGGACAAATGCAACAGTCGAAGATTGCATGGATGGCGTCGTGTGTGATATAGAGAGAAGATGGGTCAAGGTTTCTGCTAAAGCCCCTTTCCCCTCAACTCATCAGTGGTTAGAACCGGGTTGTTCTTGGCCGGGAGAGCAAAGCTGTGAAGGGTTCCCCACATGTATGCGTGCAGTCCCAAAAGAATCCCCACCAGCCTTTCCGGCTGGCTTGCATAGAGCTGATGAAGACTGTCGTATGAGGTGGGAAGTTTCAGACTTCATTTTCCCACCTTATCAATTCAGGGAAGAGTTCTTGATTTGGAGGGGTGCCCAATGGCGTTTGATAAACAGCGAAGAACGAGGCCTCTTGATGGGCTACGGTTTTGGTCATTGTGATTTAGCGTGGTCAGCCAGTCAAATCAAGGCGGACAAGAAAGGTTATGAGTATGAGAAGTGCTCTTTGGTAGGAGATGCCTTTAGCATTTACTCGTTTGTTGTGATCGGTGTAGCCCTTTGCAAAGATTTTCTTCCGCGATTACATTACCATCACCTGGCAGCCCGCATGGGCCTAGCCCCCCGGTTTTCGTGCTCCACTTCGTTTTCAGGCTCCATTGAAACGACAGCTACAATATGGTTGTCAGAATGTCGCAGAGGCTCAAACAGGTTTAACAGTGCGGGAACTAAACCGCCTCTTCCTAGGCAGGGCAAACTTTACAGGCAGTGATGTGCGAGTCACCAGTGGAGATGTCCTCAACCCCAGATGCTTCCCACGTACGACAACCTGTTTGTGCTAGTTGGTGGAACTGGCAGCATTGTTTCAAGATGAGATGGAAAGAAAAAGCCCACATTAATGTACTAGAGCTAAAAACAATCCTCCTGTGCATCCAACGAGGCGTTGAACGAGGAAAATGGATCAACTGTAGGGTGTTCCACGCCACCGACTCCTATGTTGCTATGAGTGTGATCAGCAAAGGGCGCACTTCTAGCTTGATGCTCAATAGACTTTTGAAAAAGCTCAACGCCATGCTCTTGTTCCATGGAATCCAACTTCTGGTCACCCATGTGGAGAGTTCTGAAAACCCCACTGACGAGGCCAGTCGGTCATGGTGAAGATCCAGCCGCGGTTGATTCATCGAAGCACGCGCAAAGAACGCAAAGCAGCCCGGGTTGGGGTGAACCTTGCAGAGGCTGGCATTAGCGAGAAGACCAGAAAAGGATACTTGACTGCGTTGCAACGTCTTATGCCCGCATTAGAAGGAGTTTCCACACCATCGCAACTCGATGTCGCAGTTGCACATTGGCTTGAGAATGCTTGGGAAGACGGAGAAACCTTGTATGTTGTCTCCAATGCATTGTGTGGATTGCATTTCTTTGAACCGCTCACGAAGCATTGCATCCCCACGGCTTGGCGGTTGTTCGCGACATGGAGGAAACTTGAATGGCCTTCTCGTGCGCCTCCATTGACGGCAAGCATTGTAAAAAGTTTAGCCAACTACGCATTAACGCATAAGGACTTGTTCTTTGCTGCCTTGTTGGCCTTAGGATTTTTCGCCCTTTTGCGTACCGGAGAGTTGCTTTCATTGCGTGGCAGTGACATCTTGTGTGGTGAGAAGCAGCTCATCCTTTCGCTCAAAGGTACCAAGACTGGCCAGCGGAATGCCGCTGACGAAACAGTTGCAGTCGAGGATCCTTTTACAATCTTGATTGTGCAAACCGCCTTGGAAGTTCTTCAGTCGCACAACGCAACTTCACAGAGATTGTGGGAATTTTCCCAACAGAGTTTTCGTAACCACTTCGAGGCATATATGCAAAGGTTTCATCTTGATCACCTGCAATTCAGGCCATACTCCCTCCGGAGGGGGGG